GCCTTCCCTGTCGCGTGCTCAACCAGGGCTCGAGGCTCAGATCTTACGTACATGGTCCGAGTGGATCCTCTGTTAGCGTGCCCTGGTCTGGCCTCCCGCTGTCTGCAGAGCCGAGATGCCGAGCGCTTGGTGTGCCACATCTCAACAAGACGCTGCCACCGCCCGTCGGAGGCGACTCTGGCCGTCCTGGTCATCGTCCTGTGCATGTCGGATTCGTCATCGGATAATTTCCATCGTACAACGCCGGCACCGCTTGCTCTATTCAGACAGTCGTCCCCCACGCTACCCTTTACCCGATGCAGGGCTGAAGTTCGTGCTAGCGACACTTGTCCACTCTTTTCATCCTTGCCTAGTCCAGTCGTGCTAACAGTCCCTAGGCCGATAGTTCCACTTCGGTGTGCTCCGCATCATCCTGCCAAGAGCCCTTTGGCTTCTTCCAACGTCGCCACCATTGCCGCAAGTGCGGTGGCATCTTCTGCTGGCAGCACTCGCGCAACAATGTCCGTCTCGATGAGCTCGCACGTTTCCACCCTGAAGGCCATTGGCACCGTGCCTGTGACCGTTGCCACAGCTCCTTCCGTGAGTGGGAGCACCTTCGGTCCAGCCGCACCAACAGCGAGAGCTCAGGCAGCAGCAATGGGCCGAGTCCAGCCGCAAAAGCCATCGAGGCTCCTGTTGCGGCGAAGCGCCCTGAGACCACACGCGTTGGCAGCATAGCTCAGAGCTTCCAGGGCACATGGAACTGGAGTACCTTCTAAACAACATCGGCGTCTTCTGCATCGCCTTCATATCTTCATGACTCCTGGACGGATGGATGGTCTTCTGATCCCGGTGTACCTTCTTTTGATGATATCCGGAGACTGGCCAGCATTGCCTTTGTGCACTGGTTCACTCCACCTTTTTCCTTGGCTTCTTCTACGAAGCATTATCCGGCATAAACCAAACTGCATATCATCGGCGTTGTCGTGCTTTTCAACCATTGGGACCTTTCCAAAGATAGGTGGTGTTTGTCCTTCTCTTGCGATTCAGCGTTTTCCTTCACCTCCTACACCATAGAGAACAGTCTTCTCTTTTTCTCTCCCTTTGTGGAGACGTCATAACGGCCGATGAGATATCCGACTAATGCTAGTCAATGAGGATGCGAGATGGATGGAGGCTTTTTGATTGGGAACAACTGGCGTATTTTGTGTTGCGGGTGGTCATGTAGCTGTATGTTGTGATGAATCTATACTGGTATATTCCGATTGTGTGTCCTTGACAAGCTTTGGAGATGTGGATTGTATGATATATGGATAATGTGCTTGACTCGGGTGTCGTGATGTGGTACCCTGATGGCGTGATGTCGGGAAAGGTATGGTCGAAGCCAAGGGCTAGTGTTAGGCAAGGGCACGGTACCTTTTGGTGATGCGTCTAGGTACCATGCCGTTGGGAAACAATGTCTGATGTCATCAAGAGTGACAAGTTTGGACACTTGTGTGAAGATAGTCGGTGATGTTAAACAAGTTTGGGCAAGGGCGCAGACGAGGGTGCCCAAGACGTATTGACGAGCAGGCTGAATCCATGGTTCATGCTGAGAAACAAGCAGGATTAATGGTAGACAAGCTATGTAAAGAGAAAAAGCAAGATTGAGCTCACCATAACACAAGATGAGTCTTGTTGTACCACGACAAAGTTTCAGCAAACGCTCAATGGTGTGATACGGAGATATCCTGCACTCCGATTGGTCAGTATTTCGTGCCGAGTGGAGTGCGGGATGGCGTTTTTTCGCAGAACAAGCACACCACGAGTCAAAGTTACCTTGACGCATCTCGCAACTGCGCACGGTTCGTACCTGGCCTCACCTCGTTCGTGCTTTCACATCGTAAGAGATTCGGCGTCATACGTCCTCTTCTCCTCCAAGCGTTTGGGGGCGCCATCGCCCCCAGGGTAGCGAGCCGATTGCCGAGACGATATTTTGCAAACACGATGACCACGACCGAGACGACGATACAGGCGAACGGAGAGATGGCGGGGATTATACAAGGTCAAGGCCACGGAGATATGTCTGTTCAAGAGAATGGAAAGAGAAGAAAACTCCACGGACGCGCATTCTATGAGAGTATCGGCAGTCCGAAGCTGGTACTCGCGCCTATGGTGGAGCAGTCAGAGTTCGTATGTCTCTTCAACTCGATACAACTGGCCTGGGACGATGGCTAACGGAATGGCTTTTATAGGCATGGCGATTACTGTCGCGCTCGTTCCTTCCTGAGTCTCAGCAGAAGAACCTCCTAGCGTATACCCCAATGTTCCACTCCAAGATGTTTGGTGAAAAGAGCAACTACCGCGATGCTCACTTTCAGCCTCTCAAATCGACTATTCCGTCACCCACCGACTATTATCACCTCTCACAACTACCGGACTCAGATAAACATCTAGACGGCAACCCAGCATTTGACAGACCTCTTACGGTACAGTTCTGCTCAAACGACCCCGAAGATTTCTTGCGGGCTGCGAAACATGTTGCGCCGTTTTGCGATGCAGTAGACCTGAATCTGGGATGTCCACAAGGTATTGCGAAGAGAGGCAAGTACGGCGCTTTTCTACAAGAGGACTGGGACCTGATATCAAGGATGATACGCAAGCTGCACGAGGAGTTGGAAATTCCGGTTACAGCAAAGATGAGGGTGCTTGAGACACCGGAGAAGACTCTGGCATACGCAAAAACACTACTAGATGCCGGCGCAAGTATCATCACAGTACACGGCCGACGGAGAGAACAGAAGGGCCACAACACAGGACTGGCAGATTGGAAGATGATTCGGCATCTACGGGAGAGCCTTCCCAAAGAGACTGTTATATTCGCCAATGGAAACATCCTCCAGCACGAAGACATTGCGACATGTCTGGAAGCGACAGGTGCAGATGGCGTCATGAGCGCAGAAGGAAACCTTTACGATCCGACCATATTCGCCGCACCACCTCCACCTGGTCAGGAAGGACGAGAGTACTGGCGCGGGCGCGACGGAAAAGGCGGATATAGGATGGACGCTGTGATGCGACGATACATGGACATCATTCACAAATACGCCCTCGGCCAGGAACCACCACAACGGAAACCACTTTGGATGCCTGGAGATATCGAAGAGCTGCCACAAGAAAACACCAACAACGCAGCGGAGAATGGCAAGAGAGCAGGAGATGAACAAGACGGCCCGCCACAGAAAAAGAGAAAGCCAATGTCTAAATCGGAAAAGAAGAAAGAGGCGTCGAATCCCAACCTCACGGCTATGCAAGCACATCTTTTCCATCTCCTACGTCCTCTCGTCTCGCAACATCATAATGTGCGCGACGCACTTGCTCGATCACGGACAGGCGATATCGACGCGTTTGAAAACGTGCTGAGCCTTGTAGAGAAAGCCGTCAAAGAGGGTATCCAGAAGTATGAAGAGGAGCATGCCAACGAGACGGCTTCCGCGCCAGAACAGCCCGCTACGATGGAGGAGATCACAGGAGAAAACTTGGATCCGTATGAATCTTCCCTCGCAACTGTAGCTCGCGTCAAAAGACCATATTGGGTCTGTCAACCGTATGTCAGACCGCTGCCTAAGGAAGCATTGGAGAAAGGGAGTATGACTGTTAGCAAGAAAGAGAAGAAGAGGCTAGAACAAGAGGCAGAGAAGTTGGCTAAGAAAGATGAAGATGAAGTCAAGGCCGTGGGGCTCGAGCCTGGGGGTAGAGTGGAGGAGAAGGTTGTGGATGATGTGAATGGGAAGAGTGAGATTGTAGAGGAGCCCAGGGATGGACTGGTTGCTGGATAAGTGGGAGAATGAAAGTGGGGAAGAGATGTAGATACCCAATAACGCAATAATAAACCATAACAATCTATTTGACACTGCGACAAACCAGATTTGTAGGTCACAATGCCGCTGTACAAGATGCCGATGCCGACTCGCTAAACCCTGCTTACCTACACGTCAGCGCCAGGACCATGTTTACTGATTGTCTTTATTGCTGCATCGGCCGCTGTTTGCTAACTTGCTATAGTAACACCTTCGACTACAGTGCCCGACTAAATTCTCCGCATCATATCTTCTGAACGATCTGATTGGAGGACTCGAATGCAAAATGAGTGCGATAGCTGGCTTCATACCTGTAACGGCAAAGGCGGCGAATGTATGCCTGTATTGTCGGGTAAGAAAACAAAAATGCAACCGGACGCTGCCACAGTGCGAGAGATGTGCTGTGTGAGTCTTTTCTTTTTCTTGAATGCTTTTGTTGACAACCGAGTCTAGTAGCTCTAGACTAATATACTGCCAGGAAAGGAAAAGTATGTGATTACACGCCGTACAAAGAGCCGCCACGACTCGGAGACGTGGACCCGGAGCCATCAATTATAAGCTTCGAAGGATGTACTCATGTCGATCTTTCGTCGCGGAGTACGACCGCATTGCTGCATGCGGTAACAGTAGTTGCCGACTCTAAGGATGCTTCCGGAAGTAAGGCAATGCTAGCGGATACAGTATACGACATACTGGATCAAGCCAACGTGGATATATCCCTCGTTTTGGAAGATTTTGGTCCGTCTATTCAGCAATGGTGTCCTGTCGTCCCGGAAGACTTTCTGAAAGATCGGCAAAATCACGCTTCGTATGAGCAACCACCACACGAGGAAACATACCGTCCATTCCTATTGTTATGTCTGTGGTTAATGAGCCGCCGACCATGCGACAATGCAGAGCACGTAACCCGCTGCCAACTTTACCGCGCGTTGAAACAATCGCTTGCCATCTTCCAAAGCGGCACCAATGTCAACATATCAATCCTCCAAGCATCCATGCTTCTTGCTCTCTACGAAACAAGTCACGGCATGTCAAATCAAGCTTTCCAAACCATGTCAGCAAGTGTGGGTATACTCCAACTCCTACAACATTCAGCCACAAAAAGCGCAAACCTAGTTTGGACACTGGAATGGATAAAACCAAGTCTGCTCATGCTAGACCGCGTCCTAACTCTGACATCACCTACGCACCTTCCTCTGGCTCTGCCCTCTTATCACACAACCACTCAATGTATCTCGTACAATCTGGCTCCTGAGATACCACCGCACCCGCCACTTGGATTAGCATCAGCAACATCTGCGCGGAAACTACACATTCGATCCACCGTCGCTCTGGCTACAAGCCCAGCTTTGGAGTACATCTCGTCTCTCGTTCTCAACCCCCCACCACAACCCAACCACGCCTACGATACAGCCACATCAAGTCTAACAACCTGTATTCAAGCCCTAGTCTCGAAGCCCGAACCGCATACTTGGCTGCACTGCGACGCCATTGCCCTGGCCTTCTGCACAAACATTCTACTCCAAGAAGCACAGATGCGGCATCTGTCATCTACGCTGCCGGCGCTAGCAGGACGTCCACATCCAGAGTATGAGAAGGTACATTTGGCGCTCAAATATGCGAGACATATGGCGTGGGATATGGTGAAGGTAGGGATCCAGAAGATCAACGGAGAAGGGGAAAGTGGGGGAGAAGGGGTAGGTGAAGTGGGAAGACTACCTTTTGCAGGGTTGTGTTGTGTTGTCAGAGCGGGAGTGGCAGTTTTGAAAACGAGAGAGTTCTACGCAGATGGTGATTGTGTGGAGGAGAAGGAGGTGGAAGGGTTTAAGAGGGTGGTTGAGTTGTTCGCTGGGAGATGGGGAGTTGGACAGTTGTACTTACGGACATCGAAATGAGTGAGGTTGTCAACAACGAACGACGTTGCGTTGTAGAGTAAGAACAGACTAATGTTTCTTTCTATTCTCAAACCAATCTTCGCCGCCAAATCGTGACCTTGTTCTCCATGACACTTAACTGCGGCCCGATCGTATCGCATGTCATTGGATAAGGCACAATGAGCCTAAAGCTTGGCCTTCCGAGCTAGTCTTATAAGAGTATCTCACTTCGCCAAGCCAATGCTAACAGTTGCATCATGAAGAGCGGCCCGACTTTAAAAACTCTACTGAACAAAACATGGCTCGCACCATGCGTAGTCGCGAAACTACGAACAATGCGCATTGCTATTACTAAATACAGCATACTCACAAGCTCAGATCACGGGATGGTATTTCTAATCATCGCCAAGGCAATGATTAGTCTTGTCGACTTACTGTAAGGGAGGTCAGATACGATTTGCCATTTGAGTTGTACGATACACGGCTATGGAAGCCAACGTCAGATGTGATCGAGGAATGTTTCAAGTCAACAAATGAAGAGTTGTACATAAATCCATCCTCGTGTAGCTCTCTGGATGAACCAGATATCTGTTCACAGTTGTTGACATATTCTCATTTCATCAAAACATGCTACCCTGGGAAAAACCTCGGGACGTAGATCTGTATAAGCTTACAAAGCCCCAGACCGACGTTTTGTGCTAACGAATGCCGAGCATACTCTTCACCCAATTTCCAAGCAGACGACGCTTAGCAAGCAAAATGAGCTGTGCGACTGATGATAGCACCCTTTGCGCAGTGTATAAATGCTGCACGAAAGAATGACATTGCATATCCAGAACAGCCTAACATCCATCCAACATGTTTCACCTCAGCACCCTCATCACTTTTCTCGCCATCTCGATCTTACGAGCTCCTCTTGTAGCAGCAGCAGCTCTACTGGCCAGCTCCCAGGCTTCCGTTCGACAAGTATACCAATTCGACAATGGCACATGGTTAGAGAATATCGCAGTCCGTTCAAACGGAAACCTCCTTGTCACACTAATCGACCGCCCCTCCCTCTATGAAATCAACCCTTTCCATAACAACACTCCAACCCTCATCACGAACCTCGAAGATGAAACGAACACGACCAGCCTACTAGGAATCACAGAGATGAGCCCCGACGTCTTCGTGTTCATCGCAGGCAACTTCTCCGTCGCACGAGCAGGATCAGACGCAGCGAGCTACTCGATATGGCAAATCGACTTCAACCGTGGTGATTTGGCCAAGTGCGAAAAGGTCTCCGAGATCGAGGCGCTCCCTGAAGCCAGTTTCTTGAACGGAATGACGACGTTGGATCGCGAGCAAGGTACCGTCCTGATCTCAGACTCTGTTCTGGGACTCGTTTGGCGATTGAATGTCTGGACGGGCAAGTACGATGTTGTCCTCGATGATGAGACGATGAAGCCGGCGGAGGGTACGCTCCTCGTGTTGGGCATCAACGGGATCAAGATCTTCAATGGGTATCTTTACTACATCAACGCGTTGAAAGGATTCTTCTGCCGTGTTGAAATCAACACATCGACTGGTGAGGCGGTCGGACCATACGAAACCCTCCAAACCGATTTGCCTGGGGATGATTTCGTCATGTCTGCAGACGGTGTCGCTTTCATTGCGGAAAATGGCGGAAACTCGTTGGAACGAGTAGATGTAGATGGGACTCGAAGCTTGATCGCTGGAGGACTGAACACAACGGTGGTTGCTGGTGCGACTGCGGCTGCTTTTGGAAGAACTTGGAAGGATCAAGGCGTTGTTTATGTTGTAACATCGGGAGGTCAAGCCGCCCCTGTGAATGGTACTTACACCGAGGGTGGAAAGGTTGTCGCTGTCACTGTGTAAATAGTCGCTACTTCAGCACCTACAGACCGCTTCTACGCAAGCTAGAATATTGATCTCTAACAATTAATTCTAAAAGTCCATTCTTAGTATAAGTGAACGATTCATGCACCAAAGCTTGACTGCTCATAACGATAGATTACCACAACCATGGGTGTATTGTGAGATTTCTCGACAAGAAACTGAAGTAATTTATGGGCTGGCTTGGTTCTGTACCTTTGAGATGGCATGTCTTTCTCTGAAAAGCAGAGGAAGCGATTCAAGGTGTAGCGTGAAACAGTCGGCTTGATGGTCAATGAAGTATTGGCATGAGTCCTCCTTATTAGTCGCGAACGATACCGTGAATCTTCTGAAGATCATGGCAACGACCATACGCAGCTGCATCATGGCCAATGGCTTCCCTGCGCAATTGTATCCTCCAAAGCCAAAGGGCACAAACGCGTCTCTACGAAGGATGAGGTTAGGCTGGGAGGACCAGCGTTCAGGTATAAAGTCGTTGGGCTGGACAAACGCGCGTGGATCTATAAGATCAGTGGAAGTTGTGCCATACGGAAGATGCCAATACCTCGATGCAGAGCGTACGTTGGTGTCGTTACGTTCATGTGTCCTGGTATGTAACGACCTGCGATAGTCGCACCTTCTGCAGGCGTCACTCGCTGGAGGCCAGAGGGTACTGGCGGATGCAACCTCACTGATTCGTTGATAATGCCAGTCAGATAAGGCTTGTTTAACAAGTCGCGGTCATCGATGACTCCGTCTAAGCTCCGCAAATTTGACAACTCCTTGTAAAGCTCTGCTTGATATCCAGGGTGCTGACACAGCAGATAGCAAACATTGGACATTGTGATAGCGTTCGTATCAGCACCAGCAACGATGGCCAACTTCGCCTCACTCAACGTATTATTCTTGAATCCATCGGATTGCGATAGGTATGTGTATATGTCCGGCTCATGCATATGCATCTGCGAGTGTGAGTAGATCTAATGTGAGGAATATAGTGCCTAGATGACTTGCCTTGCTGCGCGCTTGCAAAGCTTCATCGTACCAGCCTTCCCAAGACTTCTGCTTCCTTAGTGAAATGCGTAGGTTCCTGGCGACATGAAGCAGTGGCATATTAAGCAATGCAAAGCCAACGAATTTCTGCTTCCTGAGGAATTCTGTCACGATCGGACCTCGCTGGTTCGTACTTTGCGTCTCAAACGATTTACCAAACGTCAGGTCCGATATCACGTCGAAGAAGAGGTCTAGGAAAGCACCGCTGGCATCTATCGGCGTGCCGGAAGCTGCATGATGGGAAAGTATATCCGCCATAAGGCGATAGTGCCTCATGAGACGTGGCGTATAGCATTGTAATGCTAGGGACGTTAGCTAGGATTATACCAACAATTCATCCTCACTAACCGGTGTTATGGAAAGCCTTGTCCCAATACCGACGTTGCTGTTTGTGAAGATCTGGGTCACGAATGAATTGCAAGGTGTGGGATGGGTAAGTTTGATCGTAGAACTCGCCTTTCTTGATGTCGTTTCTGAAGCCATGAATGTCCTTTATGGCATCGGGATGGCAAATTGAGAGTTCGCGTGGTCCTAGAGGGAATTAGTCGCACATTTATACGGCTGTAGTCTTGACTTACGTATCCGCACGAAGTCTCCGTATTGGTCATGGAGACTGCGTAGCTTGACGTACAATTTCAGGTCTGGTACGTTTTGCTTGATGACCCGGAGACTAGTTACTCGAGCAGCTGTTGGTCCAGGGAATGATTTGAGAGGATGCAAGAACAATCGATAGATGATCATAGAACAGATGAAGCCACTGAGAAAGCATGCAGCGACCGCGCTGGTAAATGCGACCGACAACTTGATGGAAACATCCCCACTGATGGCGATTAATACCAATGTGGCTGTGAAAGTAGCACAGGCGAACGTCAAGATGTTGGGTGCGTGTCGATCCCATTCGAAATGTCTGGAGAAGACTGTAGTATGGAGCAGAACACCTGCAGCGAAAGCGATGACGAAACGAATGCCAATCATCTTGCGTCGACAGCAACGGGCGTTTTATGTAGGGGTGTAGCTGCTCGCCTTCACCTAGGGCGCATAGCAACAGCTATATAAGGCTGTCAAGAGAGCGCTCGGTCTATGCGGCCGGCATTTTCGGTCTTTCATTCTCACAAGCAATGCGCGAATGCGTAGGGGTCAGTCGACCTAAAAGTGTTCTGTCAAAATAGGTTCGAGATGCGAGCGTGATTATGGACATGTACCGATGTGGAAGTACGGCATGTAAACGGCGTCATCGGCACAGGAGGCATCAACCCCTTGGACGCTCATTGGTCGATATATGACACCGCTTCGAGAGCAGTGCGGTTTATCTTGTGAACAAAGCAATTCCTCCCCCTTTGCCTTTCGTTTCGCTAACCTGCACATTCATCCCAGCCTTCCCATAGAAGCCTCTGTTCTTCTCCCCACACAACACACTAGCTACGACGTCTTCACCTTCCTTTTGCGCTTCTAGAACTCCCCATCGGGCCAGCAGCTTTCCAACACCTTTACCTTGGTAGTCTGGATGTACACCACAAACATGCAGATCCCAGCATTCGGTTCGCTGGCCAGTCCAGTACTTCTCTGAGTTTGCGACAGCGGTATTGAGGAACGAGGCGCGTGTAGGGTCGGCGGCACGATTAGGGAACAACGCTAGGGATATGGAGTGGTAAGTCTTCAAGACGGGTGCGATGAGATTGCCTGTAAGAATGTTGATGTGAGTCGGGAGCCAGACTCATCTTTCATGAGAAGTTTCGCGGTGAACATACGTGGATCTAGTACACTCAACACTTTGCTCTCTCCGCCTTTCCCAAGCCTCCTCCAATCTGCTGCCCCAACCACCTTTCCATTATCTGTTACGACTACGAATTGATGGCGCCAGTCCCAGAATCGTTCTCGGATCCCGCGCAGTAAGAACCAATAAACGTCATCAGGATAGTCTTTGCGATGCGGATGCATGATCTCCCCGATGATCTCATCGTCAAAGAATGCGGCTGTCCATACTGTCGCTATTGCAGACAGATCCGAGATGCCTGCAGCGCGAAGCTCGAATTGAGACATTGTAGCACGCTCTGCTGATTGCCGGACAGAGGACAGAACTTCCTGCACAGCAAGTTCTACTGCGAAGATTTCAATAGTATCCTCGATAATGAAACAGGTGCGTTTCTGCTGCAGAAGCTGATGTATGCGACACTGGAACGTCTCAGTAAACGTGGCTGCATTCATTGCGACGGGGCGTACTTAAAGATGTGGTCAGATGCCCCACATGCCGGCTGCACCTTTATCGCTACGCGTGAGGAGCATGCATACACCAGGTCAAACACATTGGATCCTTCGGTTTGCCGTTAACGCATTCGGCTTGGAAGAGCGAAGATGTATATCCAACACTCCACCACGACGTTTCTTACAGTTTTTTTCGACGCCTACAAGGCCTGTGCTACCGGTTGACCGATACAAGACGCATTTCATTCACTCAGCAGGAGTTCACGGGCGCTTCACAAGATCTACTATTTGTATGCTTGATCCTCCCTCCGTCTGTACTCAAGATTGATGAAATCTTCCCGGGGCGAATCAGCGCGGTTATTGAATATATTATTATCTTGTACCAGCCACGTTGTCTGCAACTCTAGAGCGATAATTGCTCGCCGTCAATCCCAGCGCGCAGCGCCTTCCGCGTTTCACATAAGGATCTCGATTTGCTTCTAGAGCATCTAATCCGCGTTTCGTAGAGCCACCGCTGCCCAATCCGATAGTATCCAGACATCACTCCTGACCATCTCTTCTTCAATTGCGTAGGCTTTCTTTTCCGACACACGCAGATTTAAAGACGTCTACCTATGAACGCTTCTTCGTTAGCCTCCTAGTTTTCCGCTTCGTAGCTGGCTTTGGAGGCGTATTGATCGCAGATTTCATAGGACGCCCAGGCTTGGTCTTCGCAGCCGGTACCGTTGATGTTGCGATAGTAGATTTCGTGTGTCGTTTCGCCAGTCTTTTGAAAACCACTGTCTCTTCCTCCAGAGTATCCACATAGTCATCGTCTTCATCAGTGACTATGGGCCGTTTCCGCTTCCACTGTGCAGGGACAGGCAAGGCTGTATCGGCGCTCCGTGCGATGGGAGGGTTCTTGCCAGCGTGACGCGATGGAGTCTTACTGGTCGTGTTCAGAATTGGCTCAGCCTCCTGTGCTGCTACTTTTCCTTTGCTATTTGTGATGGATCGGGTGTACCGGAGGTAGTTTGAGCCACCTTCCCCAAGATGCGCAGGGCTGCTGTCAACATCAGTGCCGTCTTCGAATGTGGATGCGGATGCACTCGCGCCACTATCGCTGGTCGGATTGAGCTCCTCCACCGGGCTGGTGAGCACGTCTTCGAAGAAGTTGTCGCCTACTCGAGGGATCGTGGTATCGAAAGGGTGATGATTCGTCCTTGGTGTGTATTGTCCTTTCACTGTACCGTCGCTATTGCAGGGCAGTGAGGTTATTTTGAGCGCGATGTAGCATTTACGAAACCTTGGCTCCTTTCCGCATAGATCGACCTTTCCATGACGCATATTAAGCCGTATGGTCTCTATCACTCAGTCAGTATCGTTGCTATGCACCACTGTTAGTGCACTTACCAGCCCCCAGCGAGGGCAGGTCATTGGACATGAGCGCCTCGCTACCTGTCTCTACGCAGGCATCGCAGTAGAATCTCAGAATATTGCTTCTTCCCAGTTCTCCCTTGTCCTTTGATGAGTTGTTGCTGGCAACATGATAGCAGTTGGGTGCGCACGGCTCGTCGGGCCTCGCTGTTATGATGATGTGTCCGCATGCCAGTATGTGCTCGTAGGACATCGATGGGTTGAGGCACGAGTTGTTCTCTGGGGTAATACCGACGATTTGAGGGTACCTGGCTACCTCGTACAAGGGCTTTTGCTTGAGTGACGGCGATACATCTTTTTTAAGCCGCCAGCGGGAGGACAGCATGTTGCCAAACTGCTGCACGATAGCCGGTGGCATCGCGCCTGTATAACGCGAAAGTTCTGAGGTGACTGTGTTACGCGGCAGGTGCTGGGTCAGAGTTGTGTCAGTCGCTCGTAGTAGGTTGGGTGACCAGCACCGTGAATTGTGGGTGCAAGGCAGGCATGACTGGGTGAGCCAAACAACAGGCCAAGGTGACCGATAAAACGGCAAGGAAGCGAACAATCACGAGACGACTCGCCAGTGAAGAGGAATAGACAGTGACTTGGATGCGTGGTCATCGCACATCTGGTGAAGGGGAGTTGCGCAGCGCGTAATGACGCTTACTTGGGCTTCACCATCGATTCAATTGACGAACTGTGTAACATTGCCATGATAACCACTAGTTATTTCAAGGCCTGCTAGAGGTGTGTTCAACCGAGACGCGTCTTTAAAGTGTACCACTGCTTGCCAGTCACGTGGCGTACGTGACCCAGTGATCAATCTATACATCCGCTGCTACCTACGTCGACCCACGGAACTACCATGGTCCACAATCGGCGAGTCGCCCACGACTTTCGATATCTGCTTGCTCTATATGGAAAAGGAGGCTCTCACATGACAAGTATCATAGTAAAAGTAACCATGCCTTTGTCACCAAGAGAGTAAGCGTCGGCAATTTCGACAATCACATGATCTTGAAAGTGCTCAACCTTGAAACGTTGAGACCGTCTTTTGAATCAACAACGATACATGCGCCGTGTATTTCTCAAAAAAAAAAACCAGACCGATCTCATTGGCGGGACTAGCATTCGACATAATGGTTTACAATCTCATCCTAGAAACGAACAAAGCAACTCAGAGAACGAGGATAGCATAAGGACATGAGACGACTTTACGAGTAGTAGCATACACTGATAGCGATAGTCGGTAGAAGCGTAGGAAAATTCCCACATCCTCATCATATCGAAGAACTGATAATAACTTTATACAACTTCAAGCCCCATCCTCTTATGCCCTTACACACCTCAATTCACTCTTTCCGCTATTCTTCCCGGGACGTCCTCCCCGTTTCCTCGCCCACGTCCTCACAGCTCCTTCTTCAAAAAGTGCTCCGGCCGATGGTCAGTCTCATAGTCCACATGAACATACGCCCTCTCTACATCAGGAAGACTCTCCAGTTTTATCTGAAGTTCCTCAGCTACGTCATGTGTAGCTCTCAATGTAGCTTCTGGGTCCATGACGATGTCTACTTCGACAATGAGGCGGGGACCGGAGTGGTAGGCACGCACAGTGTCTATTTGGAGGATGGTGGGGGAGTGTGTCATCGCTGGAAAGCAAGCGTTAGTGCACAGCCCAAGTAGATGTAATGAGAAGAGACTTACAGATGTAGGTGATGTGCTGCAACATGGCAGTATCAGCTGTAACGCCGATGAGAAGCTGGAATTCCGAGTACGCGGTTCTCGACCACAGGAAGATGATCAAGACGGATAGTATCATCGCACCCATGGGATCCAACCACCACTTCAACTTGGATCCACCGACAGACGTCAACACACCGAACCCGTTAATGAACAGGTCGTTACGGTGGTCTTCCCACAGAATCCTGACTTGACTGTACTTGTTCCTCAAGGCCCAACAATACAAGAACAGCGAGAACTTGGTCGCAAAAGCAATGCTGACAGCGATGACACTGGGTAGGAAGAAGTCGTTGGTTTCGGGTCCGGAGTGTTCGGCAACTGTACGGATAGATTCGACAATAATGACCACAGAAACCGTAATCATGAGTGCACAGAAACAGAGGTTTCCGGCAGTCTCAATTCTTGCTTTCCCTGAAGGGAACTTCCTGGCATCAACACGTGCCACGGCGCGGTTGCACATTATAAGTGTGAGGTTGGAAAGGGGGTCGAAGAGCGAATCGGCCATTGTCGTAAACAGCGACAGCGAGCGAGAAGATACGGCGGCGTAGAGCTGTAGGACGGCTAGAATGATGTTTGCGGCAAAGGAACCAATGACAGCGATTTTGTACTTGAGGTGGTTGGCTGTATCTTCATCTTTTGCGGCAGCCCGGTGTTCAGCCACTGGCTTGAGCAATCTCTCAATGTTCTCGTTCTGCGCCGAGTAGAACTCTTCCAACTTCTTCGCCGAGGTAGCCTTCTTGTTGAGGGTGATGGGACCGCAGCCATCGCGCTTTCGCGACGTGTTGGCGCGGATCAAGGCCAATTCCGACTCGGGCTTTATGGCAGAGGACAGCGAGTACGGGTCATTGTCGGGGGTATACGAGGGCGGCGATTGCGATTCAATGTCTTCGTGGAAGCTGCTGTGACGCGCAGAGACGTGGCGGGCTATGGGGTCGTGGTCGGTTGTAGGAGCCGCTGTTTCGACGGCGGTGCTGCTAGCATCATTTTTGCGGATTGAGCTATCTGCATGGTGTTGCGCGCTGCTGCTACTACTGCTGGCATTCACGTGGACGTGGGGGCTTGATGTGCGTTCTATGCGGTCGGGATGTGTATGGAATGGGTGGGGCTTCATGGATATGGCGCGGTGGAGATCGGGCTCTGACATTGTTGCGATGAGATATCAATCCGCTTGTCGATGCGGAGGAACAAAAGCTGGAGATGCGATTATCGCGCTCCTTTCACATACATGACCAAGGTGGCGGCGGTGAAGTAGGTCCGAGGATAGATAGCCAAGCTCCATGGCTGCGATCGACAGCTGGTGGGCCAACGTGCACGTGGGTAAGACGTGCGCGGTGGTGGCGGGAAGGTTAGGTGCAACTTCGTTCATCGTCACGACCCCTTTTACGTGAATTCGCTCTCGTCTAGTCGTGCATGTACAAACAGGACCACTGAGTGCATTCAGTCCAAAAATCTGCACCCCGGATCCATCTATCACATGTCACTTGTTTCCAATGTACTGTGCAGTACCAAACAGATACTCTTCTAGGCGGCTAATCGTTAAGATCCGCGTAACACTCCGTCATCGGCACCCCCGCAGCCCGTTTCGCCTCGCCTGCCATGTCCCACATCGCCCAGAACCACGGGCGTCACATCTATCCAGATTCCTTCAGGATGGATTGCAAACCCTGCACTTATCATACCACAATTCAAACGTCACCTTGGACAAAATCCGCGCATACTCACCGATGACAACACATGTCAGTTAAGCGTTTGATGTTGCAGGACAAGCAGCCAAGATGGACTCGTTCCCCGCTGTGCGCTTGGTACATCGTATCTGTAGTGTGCAGACAGAAACAGTAGCGCGTTTGTGTTATTGTACTTTGAGTTCTTGGTGGCGTGTGACAATACCTAGATAATGTAGACGTTCACATGCACGACGCCCTTAGGCTAAACACACCCTCACTCAGTGAAATGTGGATTAGTAACAATATGACCAAGTAACAGCAGAGAGGCATATAGCTCCTCTGTTAAGCCATCACGCCCATTGCACGAATCCTCTTTCGGGGTTAAGCGGATGAAAACGGTGTATGCATTCGTGTCTATGTCTAACTACTTCCGACGTTGCATGCAGGCCCTGGTATGCGATCAACCTCATGCCTATTTAGCCATCACCAGAATCTGGGGTACAAATAATGCGCACCCCATGTCTATAATAGCGAGTGAATAGAAGAAAATCTAACCACCTATGCGGTACATACATCTGCAAAACGGTAAAAGGGTGATGTGGACGCAATGCAGAGTCGAGGTTAAAGAGAGAAAGTGCAGGGCTAAGGTTGTGATGCAACATAGAAGAGGGGTGAAGGATGCGGAAACGACGCAGACAGGCGCAGCAAAAGTGCAGAAAAGAAAAAGGGGACATCTACATGCGGATCCGCCTCCATGGCCTGGACGTGCCAGCCAGCCTTACTTTCCATCCGTGCAACTGTGTAAGGATGTGGCAGATCGACAAGAACGAGAAATAAAGCGACTTCGGGAGAACAATGCTAGAAGCCGCTGATCTATCTATAATCCGTGTAAATCATCCTTTGCTCCGAACAGCAGCCTGAACCCTGAACTGCCATGTGTGTGTGTATATGAAACCAGGGGGTAAAGGGTAGTCCTTGTGCTAAATGTTCCGCTTGTTGTTCGGTTTCACTGCCGGCTGTTGCATATTGCTACTTCTTTCTGGGAGCTTTCGTATATGCGATCGAGTTGCTAGGCAATATCCCGGTGGCTATGCGTCGTCCGGTCGGCTCCGGCATCGTCAGTCGCACAAAGTCGTCTTGGCGCATCTTCATCAAGACTGACAGCGCATATGTGCTGCGCACACGCGGACCTGCGTTCCTACGCTAGAGTATAGTCTCGAATGCTGCCTATGCGGTATGTGCTGTCCAGACTTAGGCAAACATTGAATACTGAAACGATCGACAGGAGTGTTAATGCAACGCTCCCTGATGGTCTCTTTAGTTTCCATGCATCCAACAGGCCCCCTGCGCCCCAGAGTCCTGTGCCGCACTTGCAAACTCATAGTCCCCACCAAGCCCAAACGGCGTCTCTAGCATATCCGGTAAATTGGTATCCCACATCATATCATCCCAAAAGTTGTTCAAGATCGTCGGATCGTTCCCGGCGTTGGCCCAGGTAGGTGTTGCTGGGTTGTAATGTCCGAATGCGGAGGGATGATGTTGTCCGTAAGCGACTGGGTGGGTGTTGAGCATCGTCGGCGCGGCCGACGTGCCCGGGACAGGGAAATGAGTGTGGGCATGCGGGTGAGGTTGCTGTTGTCGATATTGCTGGGGATGGGGAATGTGTGGCATAGCGGTCTGACTCTGATGGGATAGTGTCGATACATTCGTCTTGTATGCGGCGTAGAGGCGGGTGACTGCATCGCCACTTCGTTTAGCTGCAATACTCCAGTCCTTGACTGTTTCAAAAAATGTAAGTGCTGTTTCGACACTGGCTTTCCATTTCTCAACCTCTTCCGGTATGCTGGTATCGCTGAACAATGAAACCAGAGGTACCATGCAGGCTTGGAAGCAAAACCATACTGCGTTCCAACCTGAGATGAGATCGGGCATGCATTCGTGGCTGATTTCTTCGATTGTCTTCGATGCAATGAGTCGACATTTGCCCACTGCGAGCTTCTCGTCCGCGCTGAGGGCAACCCAAGGAGAGCGCCGTAGTGCTGCAGTAAGCAGGATTGGACGATGGAGGATGATACGAATGTTCTGGAAGCGCCACTTCATAACCAGTCTGGTTCGCCGAAGAAACTCTGGACACGGCTCGTCAGGGTTGGAGAGAATCGATGGCAGTTCCTCATGCCACTTCACAATCTGTGCGTCGTAGCTAGCGGTTTCTGAGGGGGAAAGCAGAGGAGACTCGACGAGCCGATCCTGTATCCTAGTAGCGATCTGACAAAATGCTGAAGCGTGCACTAGAGGCAGGATCTTGAGTTGCTCGATGTACTGAGGGCTGTTGGGTGGTGGTATTGCCTGGGACTGTGTTTGACGTCAGTAGTTATCGACTGCAGCATTCGTCAAGAAGGCTTACAGTGTTTGCGGCCGTTCCAGGCCTCAAGACAGTGATGGAAGGCCCCATTCTGCCCAACGAAGGTCGACCCGTCGTAGTAGAAGCCCAAGAATCCAGGCAAAACAAACTCCACCAGATGCGTCGTCTCATCTCCGGGGAAATAGAATCCTCTTCACCCGGTGCCATGAACTGCCTGCTCGCGTCACTGCGTTCCGAGTACTCACGATGTAAACCTAGCGCGGTAGCCATACGAAGCGTACCACCCATTAGGGAATGCGCTTCGTTCGGGCGGTTGAGATAGTGCATGTAGTATCCGCTCATAATGGCTAGAGCCTGAAGAACTTCTAGGTTGCCACTTCCGAACGACTCCAGAGACAGGTGCTGCCGAGATCGATTGAAGTAGACATAGTGTGCTTCGTTGTCTGCAGCTAGAGAGGCAAGCGACCCCAATGCAAAGACCATGTTCAGTAGCGCCAGCCATGCTGAGTCCTTGCGGTTGCCGTACAAGAACGTGGACCAAAACTTTCGCTCATCGATCATAGGACAGAAAGGATGCACGCGGTCAAAATAGCTTTCAATCAGCTCTTGACCATGCTCGGGAGACGGTAGGGCATCTGGCCTGCTGTCTGCTAACTCCGGTGGCGGAGAGCCTGCGCGGCTTGGCAGCGCAGTCTCCTGGCTGTTGTGTGCGATGAGCGAACGCGTCTGGGGTGCACATCGTACAATAACCTTTAGTGCCGCTGTGATAGAAGAGATGCCAACATAAGAGGATAGGCGGTCGACGGACATTGATAGTCCATTTACATCGTCGGAGATGCCTTGGACACGGAGCTGGTGCTTCCGTGCCTCGTCCCAGTAAGGATCTTCAGGCGGAGCCTGCTCGAGCGCTTCCAAGCTTTCGGCTCCATCAGATCCAACCTGCACGTCCGACAGCGTTTGCGAGTCGGCCGCCGACGGCGATGTCGTTGAGTGAATCGCACTGGAGGAGAGAGCTAGTTCTAGCAGTTCCTCGCGTGGGAGACTAGCCAGCGACTCCAGGTTCTTTACTCCATACAACTTTGTGAGGATGGTCTTGTACTGTTCAATATTGTTGGAAAGCTTGTCGACTAGTCTACCAAACTAATTAGCCCGACCCGTTTTGATAGTGTTCTAGAATACTCACTTTCTGCTAGGCACAACTCGTTGTGCAGGCTTCGAATAGCCACATGCCTCAGGGTGTTGGTACCATTGGCACTGTCCACAAGGTTGTGAACCGTCACATCGAATCTTGCGTCGTCTGCATTCGACACATGCGTTGCTGGTTGATATGCGCCGTGAGCCTGGTGGGCGTGATGGTTTCCCCGCGCTGTCACTGTCTGCTCCGGGTGACCGCATTCCCACGGACGACTGGAAGGTATGAAACATGTTGCAGTGACCTCGGTGGTAAGTCGGCAACGTGCTTCAGAGCCGCAACTCAAGAAAGAAGAACAGGTATTTCAGACCAGAAGTGTCAGACGACCCTGCATCCAGGTGCCAGGTCAAGGAGGAGAGTCGGTCAAATATGTCGTGACAAGAAGGCGATGACCAGAATGATGGTACAAAGTACCAGTGGTGGTACGTTCAGGGACCAATATAACAAGAATCGGAACTAAAAGGTCGACGAACCGGGATCGATATATCAGAGACGCTCGGTAGTGCAGTTTGAGCAGTGCATACCACCTGCAGCCTGAATCAAATAAGATGCACAGAGGCAAAACGTAACGTAGGTGCGTCTGGTTCCCAGGCATGTGCCGTCATAATCCTGCAGAAGCTTGTGGTATACTCGGCGCGGAAGCTAACAGCAAGTCGCAGGGCCCGGGCGACGAAAAGGCATTCCAGAGTGGACATTCGAGAGGGTATAATCCCCGCATTATAGCCCACAGCACCCCTGTTTGCATGCAGCAGGGCTGACTGGTGGAGCGAGAGGGAGAGGAGAGAAAAAAAGGGCAGGCGACCGTTGAGACGGGCGGACGGGAAAGGATTGCGTCTTTCGCGAGGGGAGGGGGCCAAGCGAAATTGGAGTCAAAGATGGGGCGTGCCGCTACCGACGGCTTCGAAAAGGGTTCCAGAAGAGATCGCGCACGACATTACCATTTTAGAGCGCTACGCCATGCGACTGACATGAAGCAGCCTGTTTTTTTCTCGCTCTGGCTGCGGCAGCACTACTGCACGTCGTTTCAGCGAGTGCGGATCATCCTTCCCGCCACGATCAAGCAGCGCGCACCCTCGATCGCATGGGCGCAGGTGGGCATGGATTGCGTGCCTATGTTAGAGGCGTGATATGTGTGTGTGTGGGCCTCTGGAGAGGGTGGTGCGATGCGAACCTAAATCACAAACCCTAACGTCGAACACATGCTTTCGGGTGAGATGTACCCGACCTATGAAGGACGGCCGTTACAGGCAAGCCGCGTTGCAGGCGTAGAGGAACGACAACCATGCGACATACTCGCTACCGCCGCCTTCTGCCGACATATCACCAGTGAAAAACCCATACCAGCGTCCGGGTCGCGAGCCAGTGTGGGCCGAGAAGCTCAAAAACCCACCGAACGCTGCTGCGTGCTCGCTGCGAACCGGCTTTGCGTGATGGCATGCGGCTAGGTTGCATTTGCCTGCACCCTCTACCCCATGCAGGGCAGTTCCAGCCAATGCTGTAGAGCGCTGGGCGGCGCCATTTAATTAACCCTGGAAATTCAGCATGTTCGATAGATACGTTCATATCCAGGGCTTGGCATATACATGACGATGGACCTATAGCAGCCTCACATATACCCTTCGGTCCAAACTCTACTCGACAATGCCTGGTTATTACGCAGTGCGATCCCACACCTTTGGTCCTTGCCTATATTCGCCGTGTTCCAAAGTTTATGTCGCGACATACGAACTCGAGCCGATGAGCTAGTCGACGCTCTTGATGATCAAGGACTTGTTGTACTTGCGCGTCAGCATGCGCTGAACATACCTCTAACTACATGTACTTGCATTCACACGTTATGCCCCACAAAGCGGTCATCCTGCTTCCACATCATCCAAGCAACTCCACATTCCGAATCCTGCGAGCTGACGCCTAATCTTTGCCCAAATATGTCCACCTCAACGGTTCATCCTGCTTGCCCAAGCCCCTTACCTTGATGATCTGCTCATCTCCAGGCACCACATCTATAGCACTGTCGTGTACAAGGACGCCTGAACGTTCCTCGAAGACTAGGCCTTTAGTCGGTTTCTGGGCCTTGACCACAATAGTCTCACCCTTCGGTATGACTTCCAAGCCGCGGTCCCTGAACTCGAGATACTTGAGTGGCTGGGGCCAATCGACATCGCGAGACACAATTTCGCCATCGACCCATATGCGAACGGCTAGGACATGCGGCTCTTCGTTCCGGTTGTCGATGGTACCTGAGAGGACGTCGGTCGTTCCGTTCGGTACGAGCCTGATATCCTTCTTGACGATCTTCGTTTTAATCTCCTTGCCGCTCTCAACGCTAATATATCGCAATTCAACGGTTGCTGTCACTTCCTCCAGTTTCTGACTCGCCACCCAGACTTCGTAGTCGCTAGTCTTGGGTACTCTGGCATGTACTACGCTCCAATCAAAGTGCGCCCGTTTGACTGCAACGGCGATGGGGGCAAGGACTCTGCGCATAGCGTAGTAGGCCGGTTTCTTGCGCTGGAAGTAATCGACGATAGACCACGAAGTGACTGGCCAGCAGTCGTTGAGCTGCCAGACGAGTGCACCACCACAATGCCTGTTTTGACCCCACTGTCGTCTCCACCCCCTGTAGCCGAACATTAGTGCTTCGGCTTGAGATAGCTGTGTTAGGTGGATGAACGACTATTCGCTGTTAGTACCTATACCGGCTATATTGCGGCCCACTTAGTCATAGTTCCCGACCATGAACCGGGTAACCGTCGGACGGCACATACCTCTAGATCAGTCTTGGTGCGGAAGTTCTCCACCAAATACGTGGCTATCCTCCGCTCATGTCCGTCCGCTTTATTATGGAAATCAAGCATGTGGCTTTGCGGGTACAACTGAGAAGGATCAGTGCAGTAGTACTTGATCGTGTCGATATGTGGGAATGCTTCCATGCCGAATTCGCTGTTGAAGCGGCCGCCTAGCGTATCGAAAATCTGGTATTTTTCCTGTGTGCCATGCCATACTGCATACGTCGTAAGTATAATATATGTGACGCAATGTGGATATTGTTACCGTTCCATTGATGCATGTCACCCACTGTGGGGTTTGACGTCTTAAGGCCGTCACCCCATGGTGATCCTGGATGGTATGGAACATGTGGACTTTCCGCCGCAACAACGTCAGGCAGTAGCTGTAGATAGTGCTGTCAGCGTAATTGTAATTGCTAAACGCACGATACGCACGCACCTTTTCGTATATGTATCGAGCCGGAAAGTCAGTCTTGAGCCAGTTCTCTGGATTCTTGTCCTCGTAATCGTATGTCAAGCCATACGACTCCTGCACCTGGTAGTCCTCGTTATTTCCGGCATAGATGATGATGGAAGGGTGATGTCGCAGTCTGGTGACGTTTGCGGTGCACTCTTCCTTGATTGATCGCAGGATGTCCGGAAAGGCGGGATAATTGCCGCAGCCAAACATGAAATCTTGCCACACCAGGACACCGAGTTCATCGCAGATGTCATAGAAGATGTCTTCTTCCCAGATGCCGCCACCCCAGATTCTGATCATTATCTGATAACCATCAACCATCATCTCGAGCCATTTACGATATTTTTCTTCGGTCACACGTGGAGTAAAAGAGTCGGCAGGAATCCAGTCCGAGCCACCACAAAAGACATCAACGCCGTTGACCCGGAAGTAGAAGCTGTTTCCAATAGTATCTGGCTCCTGTATGAGTTCGCCTTTCCGAAAACCTGTTCGACGTGACGTTTGATGTGTCTCTGCTCCATTCGTGAGAACCGTTGCAGTAACGGTATACAAAGGCTGCTCGCCATAACCATGGGGGTACCACAACTTCGGGCTGCTGACATGGAAATCCACTTTGGCCACACCCTCGCTAATCTTTGCAGTCTCCCTAAAGACTCGTTGATCTCCATCGAATACATCAAAGCTAACGCTGTCTGCAGACGGTCCTTCCACAGTAGCAGAAATCGTTCCCCGGACTGATTTTAGGCTATCATCGAGTTTGTAGTCGACTCTCAGATCCTTGGCCCTTGCCTGGTAGGTTTCCAGTCGCACTTCACGCCAGGGACCGCACGTGTTCAGAATTGGGCCCCAATCCCAGCCCCAATGGTACTGAGCTTTCCTCACTGCAAGCCTTGCCATATCGCCATTGAATCCAACCCATCTGTGGTCTGGGTACTTTTCCTTGATCTTGATGGCCTCCAGACGGGCAGATGCAAAGTCGATCTCCAAAGTGTTCGTGCTCTCAGAATTGAGCTTCTTAGTCACATCGAGGCGATGCGGGACGAACATGTTGTCGCTCTCGAGGATAGTCTCTCCATTGAGCTTGACTGTAGCGAATGTGTCCAGACCGTCGAAGGCAAGCACATGTGTAATACCTTCTTTTGCTTCCTGTACCTTGGGCAGCTCAACCTTATATGTCCATACCTTGTCTGCCACCCACTCTGCGTCAAGCTCATTGAAGCCCAGGAAAGGATCCGGAATTCTGACTCGTTTGTCAGTTTGTGCAAAACGCTTCCGACTCCTGGAACGTCGAGACATACTTGCCGTGGTCCATCAAGTCCAGGTGAACATTTGTCGGAACCTTGTTGACCGACATCCAAGCACCATCAGCAGTATCATCAGCCTGCTTGAAGGTCCAACCCTTCGAAAGCACGTGAGCGCTCAGAGCTTGTGCTTTTGCCATGATGGATGAAGTTCAAGATGGTAATGACCGATCGAACCTCCTGCCAGCCCTTAGAAATCGCTGCCTGAGACTACCAATTAGCGGGGTAAGCACCACCACCACTGGGGACGCCCTTTCTTCTTGAATGACGACTGGACATTTGTCTACCATGCTAAATCAGACAATTGACTTGGCCGGAGCATGTGGTGCCGCGTTGAGCTCCATCGAGCCGTTCGTAGCACCGTGATGTGGTCCGTAAAGGGTATGCGGAGAAGCTGGCCCGCGCCCAAAGCGGCTAGCAAGCCGCCTATTGTGGATCTGATGTCGGAAGATATGACCCTGAGCCGCAGTTCAGCCGTCAGAAGGCCACAAGGTGCGGGTACAGAGGGTGAATTGCAAGATGAGATCGGTCTCCGTTGTTCCGTGCCATATGGAGAAGTTGGGTAGAACATTGGAGGAGCGACGGCAGTGTTCCGAGTGGTCAAGCTCCACGCAACGTGGGGTACTTCTGCCAGAGCAACCTTATGTTGCTGAGTACGTAGGCTATAATCGCTTTGTAAAATCTTACCTGGTACCTTACCAACAGCACCTTAAGCAGCTTCCAGTTACCCGGAAGGCGCAGGTCTTAAATCTGACAACACGAATTCTGCCGCACCACTACCTGGTCATGCATTTGGTCGCTCACCAACATGTGGCCTATAGCAGACCCCTCTCTGCATGCGACTGTGCTGCAAAGAGGGAATGATCTGGGGGGAAAGTATTGGATTGAGATGCTTAAGAGACAATTGGCGAAAAGAGGAAGGGGTATAAAACTGGGACTGCCGCAAGACTTCCACCTCGCTCCACGTACGACCAACAAACAACACCAGCAATGAGGCTTCCGAACCCCATGAACGACAAAGCGTGACTACAGTCTTGCTACCAGAAGTGTGAAGCTGATGTCACGGCCACCACAACCAAAATAAACGCAAATGGATTACCACCTAACTTTGACATCCTCGACGCAGCACTTCTCTTTGCCATTTCACTCCTGGATTTCATCATCATCGTAGCTTGTTTGTCGACTCTGCCTTGCTGCGCTAACTGAAGCATTTCCTCTCGGCTCGTTGAGAGGATCGTCGTCGAACGCGCACCGGGACAGAAGACCACTTCGAATCCAGCTCCGGAGGGGATGATGAAGGTTGAAGTCTGATCATCGAACGCTGTTCTGGTTGTTAGCCTTGCTCCGTTGATTGAATTACGAGGGGATCACATACCAAAGCTGTATGCGTCAGGACAGACTGCCTTGACGCTTTTGGAGTACTCGCTTGGCTTACACGCGCTCGCAGAGTTGTATTCTCCTGTACAGCAGTCTTCAGGTCGATTGTTCTTTGCACATGCAGAGAAGCAAGGATTGAACTGTGGCCGTTGGATGTTGTCGTCAGGATACGGATATACGCCATCGCCAGGCTTCTCAGGGGGGTTCTGTTGCAAATCCCATGGACACCATTTAGAGATCTTATTCTTATCAACCTTTTGATCAAAGGGCAATGGGTAGGAGGTATTCGTGCGTAAGAAGTCAGGGTATTCGGGATAGGGATTGTAGCCTTGGGAAGCTAGCAGTCCATCCGTGCCTTGGCAGGATGGGTTGGTAAGGTTCGGAGGAATATCATCGAGCGTGACGTTCTCGAGCGGCTGGAGTACGATTGCCATGGGGACGTTGTAGCCATCGACAAGCGAGATGTCGTAGTATGTATGTCCATCCCCAGCATCCAACGTGAACTCGGCAAGCGAGACGGGAACGTCCCCCTACATCTGAGTCAGCGGTGTATCAATATAGAGCGTAATAACATACCCCGACTTGACAATTCAAGGCGCCATTGCAGTCGCCGGATCCACAAGCCTTTCCGCGACCCGATTCAGCAGCGGTGCCGTCACTGTTGAACGTACAATTCGTCCTACCCCAGACGCGACCCTGCCAATCCTCTGACACAGTCTGGTTTTTCGTCTCCCCAGGTTCAAGCTTGAAGCCATTCTCTGCAGGACCTGTACCGGACTGCGTTGAGATACCAGGCCAGATGGTCTCGGGACAACGGTTCGTCACTAACAAGGGCGTGATGTCCAGTTTTCTCCGATTGGCTTTCCAGGGTGCCTTTTGTGCCATGTGGTGGAAAGCGTCAGCCATAGGCAACGCACTCAGGCACAATACGGTGCATAGCTGAGTGATAGAATAATGGTTTATAGGCTGGGTATGACCCCTGCTGGACTCGAAGGTAGACATTGCAGGATGCGACTGCGCACAGCGGATGCGCAATCACAGGACGAGTGCTCGTAGTAGGGAATGGCCGCTAGGTATAAGATGAGAGGATATAGACCTGTTAAGCGTCGTCGTAGAGGTATGTAGATGTGCTTGAGGTTGTGGAGGTACAGATGATAAGGCTGGGAACGGGGGTGAGGTCAAGGGCCAGGGCCCTGTACCAAAAGCAAGGCACATATCGAGGGACTGGCTCCTGTTGGATGCTGTGAAGGAGTCGCGACTTGGTAACGGCCAGTGACGCAATATCGTCTTTCTACCCCTGGCAGACAAGGGTCCAGCAAGGCTGGCGGACAGCCTCACAGCCTGTCATTGGCGTCCACGCGAATGCTTTCAAAACGGCGGGCCGATATGTTGGTGGCTTGTTCGACGTTGAAAATCATCGACGTGTATACATGTCTTGCCAGGACACGTAAAGCCGCTCAGGTGACCTGAAGCTGGTCAATGCTGCAGAAATGTCTTTTGGTGTTCCACCCAAAGGCAGCCTTACCCCGTACAAGGGAATCGATAAACACCCTGCCGGCATTTGACTTTGCCTCTTTGTTACAGCAATGCATGTCGAAGTAGCATATACAACTAAGAAGTCTACGGTTCTGTCCACGACAGAAAATATTCTTGTTGAAGCCTACGTCGACTGCCGCAACATCTGCACCCAGGTATCTGTTTAGAGTTTCCTTTTCGTGGAATGGCTCGAATACTTTAACGGATTTAGATGTAATGCGTCGTAGGTGTGGTAGTCGCGAGGCACGTTCACATGGAAGCGATGCGAAGTCGCATGTGATTTAGGGTGCTGCCTGCAGTTATTCGGACGAAACAGAAGTGATTCGACTATGGGCACATGGAGAGCGCTAGAAAAGACCGTGCCCAATCAGAAACTACCACGGCAATCTCCAGGCCAAGGGAAATTGCATCTCCTTTCCGCAAACTGAGATTTCGTGGTGGCATCTCGGTCTCGGAGGTGGGAAGGCGAAGATGCCGGTCTCGCCACATTAGCTGCGGGTGGTGAGATCTGCGAGGCGAGCGATGCGGCTTGGCTCTCCTGACAATTAACTGGAACTCTTACAGACTGCTATATTGCCCTCTGCACACACACGCGCGCATTGTATTGTTTATACTCTGCGCATCCTCCCACCCTATACGCTCCTTCTCTACCCCGAACTGGTCTTCTACCACGCCACAGTTTTCCATCCCTGGCTTCCGCGTTGTTGTCGCCACGCAACTGTAGCTGACCACCACACCGCTGATACTTTGTCTTTGGATTACACACCGCTTCACATAATTACTTAACGATTACCTCTCACCGTTCACGTACTGCGAAGAACCTGCCACCTTTACTGTAGAGTTCATGTCGACAACCACCACAATGCCCGGTCGCACCCTTCCGACGATTCCGACCGCCGAGGTACGCAAGCACAACAACGAAGAGTCGTGCTATGTCACCATTGGCACCAAGGTCTACGATGTTACCGACTTCCTTGAGGGCCATCCCGGTGGTCCCGAGTTCATCCTGGAATACGCTGGCAAGGATGTAGAAGCCATTCTGAAGGACGAGATCTCTCATACACATTCCGATTCGGCCTACGAGATCCTTGAAGAGAGCCTTGTGGGCTTCATGGCTACCGAGCCTGTCCTCAATGGCGCAGTGAAGAGCTCGAACCCTGCGGAAATTGTACCTCTGCCACCCACCGAAGTGGGTACACTGGAGCTCAAGGGCATGGAACAGAACGGCAAGCCGCTGTACGCCGCAACCGGCATGTCGTCTGCGGAAGACCTCTCCAAAGAGACTGACCCCACCATGGACTACAAGCAGCACAAGTTCCTGGACCTGAACAAGCCGCTCTTGATGCAGGTCTTCTTCGGTGGCTTCAGCAAAGACTTTTACCTAGAGCAAGTGCACCGACCGCGTCACTACAAGGGAGGCGACTCTGCGCCATTGTTCGGTAACTTCTTGGAGCCGCTTAGCAAGACGCCATGGTGGATCGTACCATCGCTGTGGTGGCCTTGCGTTGCAGTCGGAACAGCTGTAGCGTTCGGTGGACTGTCATCTACCATGGAACTGGCGGGATACTGGGCTTTTGGGCTGGGTTTCTGGACCATTATCGAATACGTTCTGCACAGGTGCTTGTTCCATCTCGATGAGTAAGTTCTCTGCCTCTCACACATCCAACATGTTCTAACAACAAGCAGCCACCTTCCCGACAACCGCTTCGCTATCACCCTGCACTTCCTCCTTCACGGCATCCACCACTACCTTCCTATGGACAGGTACAGGCTCGTCATGCCACCTACGCTCTTCGTCGTCCTCGCGGCGCCTTTCTGGAAATTCGCACACGCAGTCATCTTCTGGAACTGGTACGCTGCTTTGGCTGCTTACTGTGGTGGTATCTTTGGATACACCTGCTACGACATGACACACTACTTCCTCCACCACCAGAAGTATGTATACGCAAAAGTTACGTTCAAGAACCTCACTAACATCTCAAAGGCTACCCCCTTACTACCAACAATTGAAGAAGTACCACCTCGCGCATCACTTCGCAGACTACCAGAACGGTTTCGGTGTCACGAGCCGCTTCTGGGACCGCATCTTCGGCACTGAGCTTGAGATGGGACCTTCCAAGGTCATCAAGTCGAGCTAAATTGATGAGGTTCCTATTAGACTTTTGTTATCAGACACCCACCTGTCACTACGTTGTCAAGACCAGCATTGCGAGAAGGCGTTTAGTGCGTCTGCGAGACCATTTTGGGTCCAAGCAGCTTGATTTTTGCAGATATATTCATGACACACTACCCTATATAATAGTAATGCCAACAATCTTATGATTCCTCAGTCACTATTCCTCTCCAGCACTTTGCCGTGCACGTGAATCGTTGCCTGCAGGTTCCCGATTAGTCATGCAAGGCTCTTGCCAAGACCCCTCTCCAACTTTTCAAGTTGCGACGCCTAGGCCATCCCTCCGCTCTCCACCTCACCCACCCACTAACAACTGAACGGCATCCACAAAGCTTCAATCAAGCACACGTTTGTCGAGTGCAGTTGACTCAAGAGGTCTTACGGAAATCGTCCGCAGTGACATCTACTACGTCCGTTCGATATCGCAATTGAATCAATACTTGAGCCCGTGCTCGCCATCAACAACAACACATCGCCTTTTGCAGTGACATCGCGCATCACTTCCTACCAGCTACACTTATCGAGAGCTAGGAAACCGCCACCGACATGTCTACCCAGGCCGCAGTCGAAGCCCTCCTTGAGGAGACGGCCCGCGAGGTCGAGATGAAGGACGCCGAGCGCACCGCCAGCAGCGAGGCGCGCGACACCGACAGCCGCCGCGACGACCGCCATTCAGACCGCCGAGACCGTCGCGATAGGAGCCGAGACCGTGGGGACCGTCATCGTGAGTCCAATGGAGACCGGCGACGAAGCCGCGACAGAGACCACCGCCGAAGAGACGGAAGCCGTCCTCGTTCAAGCAAAGGTGCTGACACAGATGAAGACCGTGATAGGCCCCGCCGCAGCAGCTCGCGCGACCGCCGTGGAGGTCGTGGAGGCCGTGACCGTGGAGGCGACTTCTATAGCGGTGGAGGTCGTCCGCGTTCCCGCTCCCCTCGCGACCGTGGCAACGATAGGTACCGCGATAGGTCGCGCGACCGCCGTCCCCGCAACGGTGGTGATGAGCGCCGCAACAGCCGTCGCAATGCCACCCCGCCCGAGCCCGAGGTCACCGAAGACGACCGCGACAAGCGCACCATCTTCGTCCAGCAGATCTCTCAGCGCGCTGAGACCCGCCACTTGCGCACCTTCTTCGAGAGGGTTGGCCCTGTTGTCGAAGCTCAGATCGTCAAGGACCGAGTTACTGGCCGGTCCAAGGGGTAAGTACTTGCTTCACTACGACCAGACAAGCATGCTGACAGTCCTTCTAGCGTCGGCTACGTTGAGTTCAAGGATGAAGCGTCTGTTCCCCAAGCACTGGAGCTGACTGGCCAGAAACTGAAGGGTGTTCCCATCATTGCCCAGCTTACTGAAGCAGAGAAGAACCGTGCTGCTCGTCCCTCTGAGGGTGGTGCTGCCCCCGGTGCCAACGGCGCCCCTTTCCACCGTCTCTACGTTGGCAACATACACTTCAGTGTCACCGAGAAGGATCTCCAGGAGATCTTCGAGCCTTTCGGTGAGCTTGAGCAGGTCATCCTCCAGCGCGATGAGATGAATCCTGGCCGATCCAAGGGATATGGGTTCGTTCAGTAAGTTGTTCACACGTCCACCCTGCATGCTATCATGGCTAACACATCTTAGATTCGTTGATCCTTCGCACGCTAAGAATGCTCTTGCAGAGATGAACGGTTTCGAGCTCGCTGGCCGCCAGATTCGCGTCGGTCTCGGCAATGACAAATTTACACCAGAATCGACCGCCAACCTCCTACGCACTTTCACTCAACAAGCACAATCCTACCAGGGCTCTGCTTTCAGTGGTGCCGGTGGCCGAGGCGCCTATGCTGGTGGTTCCGGTGGTGTCTTCGACCGTACCCACAGCAAGGACGACCGCGGTGTCAGCGGAGCCTCTGCGCTTGATGACACTGATGTCGCAGGAGTTAACTACAAGACTTATGACCGCAGCAGACTCATGGATGCTCTCGCTCGCCGCGACGTTCCCGACTCCAAGCAGGGCAGTCAGTCTGCCATGCCTACACCTACCACTCGCAAGCCTGCTGCCCCCGCCCCCGCCACTCCCATGGCTTCCAAATGCGTCAAGATCGAGAACGTCTTCGATGCTGACGAGGAACAACGTAACTGGGGCGACAATTGGGTCAAGGACCTTGAAGTCGAGATCAAGGCTGAGTGCGACAAGAAGTACGGCAAGGTCGTTCATATTGCTGTTGATGCCAACAGCGAAGGAGACGTCTTTGTTAAGTTTGACTCCGTTTCTGGTGGTGAGAAGGCTCTCCAAGGTCTTAATGGTCGCACGTTCAACAGCCGCACCATCCGCGCTTCGTACGTTGTCGATAAGATCTACAACTCCCTTTGGGGTGCTGCTGCAAGCAGGTTCTAGGCGATTGGTACGTTACAACTGTCATGAGATATGTGGTAGGTACTGCTGCTGGGCATACCCAATCACTCATGTGTACAGCATACCCCATGGGCTCATACGGTTTCTACACGGCTTATTCTCTTGGTTCACTCTTACGGTTATTATCACGGCACAGTCTTACACCTTCGGTACGCATGCATGGCGTTGACGGTATGGTACGGCTCTCTTTTCTTTCTTCTTCATTTTTTGGGTACCGGCCTTTGTGTCGTGCTAGCGAAAACATGCAACGTGCGGTGCTTCCAGTGGTGGAGGCTGCGTTGTTACCAACACATGAAGGATAAATAAGCGTTCAGAGGTACTATGGATGGAAATTTCGGTGGATATTGGGACGATAATGTCTGGGTGGATAATCAAGAAGGTTTTCTAGGCAGACGATGGGTGACAAGTTGGTGGACTATTGCTTGCTTCGGTACGTCTGTTGAGGAACACGGCCTTGTTCAGATCTCACGTTGGTCTCAGGTTACTCACAGACCGTCACACACCATCAGCATGGATCAGGAAGCGGAGGATTTATGGCTGCTAATAGCACATAGGACCAGCTCGTCTCTTCCTCTCCCTGGATGACTTGCCTGTCAATAATCATGTGTTTTAGATTCCTCGTTGCCTTGGCCTTGATTTAGAGTATGGGCATACTCTGGAGTGATTTGGCTGTGGTTTGACACTCTCTCCATTGCTGACCATTCTTCGCCTGACGTCGTGATAGGTTTCGATCGCATCAATGCCTTATAGCTAACTAGGACTTTCGAACCTCCATTCTCTTCGTCGCGCCACTGCTGCGTCGTGAATAGCTATCGTGCTTAACGTCAGGAAGAGTTAGTTCAAGCTTGCTTAAATTCGGATGCGACGCATGACGTCGCGATAAACATAACACAAGCGTGTGATACCTTGACAGACGGTGGGAATCGGTAGCTACCACAGTGGTGCGCCAAGGTAATTCCCTGGCTCGAGTGGATGTCATGTCAATGTGTTTGCATGACATCTCTTGCTTGGTTTCAAGGTCCATTCTTCTAGCTTAAGGGTAAAGCAAGGAAGAATGGAGTCATCTTGTCTGGAAGGCCCACACAGGCACGCAAGTTTGGCACAAGTAACCAGTTGACGTTAACCAGTAGAGCTTAAGGATGATTCTACAGAAAGTGGATTAGGTAGGTACGTTCTTCTAAAAGGGTGCTCATCGGATGCCAGGTCTTTGCGCTGTGTCCTTCTCCATTGTCATCACTACCCTTTCGGTGCAAATTGTGTATGCTGTACATAGCGCAGTAATTCACTCTCTACTACCATTACCCCATGGTGTTCAATTACAATCCCGAAAGACCCTCCATGAGTGTATCCACCGCATCATCTTGCTGAATATCAATTCTTGCATCCGTAACCCGGTCGGCCAGGTCCTCCATCTCCACATCCCCACCCCTAACTTCATCGTTGTTCTCTCCACCGATCAGACTGTCTTCACTTGCGTCTTTGTCATCTACAACTGTTTGTGTTTTTCCTTCACGGTATGCTCCGGCCGTTCTACCTCTCAACGCCCACGTTTCATACCCTCCATCCTTCTTCTGCCCCCGTCCCAACGACCCAAACCCTTCCAAATGTTTGATCCGAAAGACTCCGACAACCCCCTCAGAAATCCTACCTCCTCTCTCTACAGCTTCCAAGACAGCTTCGTACGTCCAAATTTGCACATTTGTTTCTACATTGCCCGTCACCCTGCCACCCTTCCTAGTATGCTCTTCTAGACAGCGAGCGTACTGCCTATGAATGTATTCTTCAACACAAACAGGACACGTGAACAAGTGTGCATTTAGATTCTGTCGTTGCCTGAGCCAAGAGAGTGGGATCTGTGGCTTGGAGGTGTAGATGCTTCTCGTACAGTTGGGCGAACAGGGGGCTTTTGAGGTCGTTGCTGGTGTGGCGGAGATGGCGGTTGTAGGCGACAAGGACGAAGAAATAGAGGTTTTTACGACGTGTTCACAGTCTAGCGTATGCAGCAGTGATGCTGGGTCTTCGCAGTGGTTTTTGGGCGGTGGCGGCTCGGTGAACGACATTGTTGGGTTAGCCGCGAGTTGGTCGCTTGGTTAGTTCGAAGGAGAGATCGGGATGATGGTGGGAGCTGAGTGAAAAGTGGGTGGGTGGTCAAGGTCAAGTGTAACTTGTATTGTACGGGAACGATGTAGAAGAGAACCTGGGGTGGAGGTGATGAAAGTGCAGATTCTGTATACATCAGTTAGACTCGACCTTGGTCAGTTTTGAGCTGAGATCCTCTCGAGTACAGCATCACAATCGCGACCGACAATAAAGTCTCGAGTATCAAGTCTATACAGCAATGATCATTACAACTATAAACCCAGCATATATCCACAAAACCAATGGAGACCACTTCAAGGTCAACATGGCATGAACGCCTATTCCAAATGGTAATGGAAAAAACCACCGAAAGTGAGTGTACAAAAAAGAAGGGACTGGAAAGGATCTATTCTCCTAGCTAGTAGCTATGCGCTCTGCCTTACAAGACTTTTTGGTGCTACATGATTTGGTTGGAGAGGGTGCTACGCGATTCGGGTTCGACGGTCGTTTGGGGGGATGCGCATGGGTGTCGGGATTGGGGTTGGATTGAATGGGGGTGCCGCGTTGTCTGGATACTGTGGGCTAGACATCTCTCGTGTGTGACAGCATTTAAGACGTGCCAGGGTGACCACAGACACGTGAGATCGTATCCATGACTGGACGATAGCCTTCTATACCATCAAGCCGCTCCCAATACCTGGAACCCGTGACATCGTCGTATCGCGACAAGCCAATTTCGCCCTCCCCAACGAGGCGTGACGAAATTGACAATGTTGCTCTGTGAAGAATATCCGGGTGATTGCGAGGGATGTAGACCGATGATTCCATAGAAGCGACGTTCCGTGCGCGACGACAATCTTCAAACGGATGGGCTCCGAATTGTGCTTCGAGGTGCTGGGGTACGCGAGGGAGAGCTAAAACCTATGCTTTAGCCACATGCTAAATGGTACTTCCACAAGAGAAGCTATCCAACATATTGGCCAACACACAGATCAAGCAGTGCTGGGGAAGGAGGGGATATCAAGACACTCAGGCCATTACGCCTTGGTTGCCGCCTGGGGAGGGGAGGTCAGTGGGCTGAAATATATATAATGGGGATATTGACTCTATTAAAGAGGACCAGGACGGAGGTAGGGGTTGTTGCGGAGCGACGTACCGACTTGACGCTTGATCTGTTCACGTGCCCATCGAGCGGTGTCTCGTGTTCGGCCGCTGAAGTCCGCGTTTGCACGTGTCTCCCTCGCCATTGCGGTAAGGAACTCATGGCGGAAGTACTCCCTGAAATCACCAGCTGGGAATGCATCCGCAAGATCACTGGACGATGTTAGTAGAATAAAATCTGGCGCGAAACGATCTTACTCACCCAATAACACCGCATGAAGATCGGAGAAGAGCTTCGGTGCGGTTGCTGTCCTGTTGAATCGTGCGGAGAAGATCGAAAATCGAGTCAAGGTAAGGAACGATGAGTTGAGCTGCGGTCATTAGTACGTCGTCAACGTTATAATTGTAAGACTCACTCTTGTTGCTGCTCTTCATGGCGACAATGCATCCGTCCCATGCGTCCATAATGCCCTCCCGGAGAGAGGTGATGTAGTCAATCATCTCGTAGTTGCCCTCGGTGGTCAACGTGACTTGACCAGCCTGTTGTAGCACCTGAGCAACGACAGCTAGGTAAGTCTCGAACGCACCGTGGATAGCATGCGCGATGTCACCGAAGCACTGGAGAATAGCCGGCTTAAGCTGGTTGCCGAGTTGAGGACTGCGGAGGTTGTGAAGAAGGGAGTTCATGAACGCATCGCAGAAGGGCTGAACGTTCTCGCCTAGGGATCGGGTGATGTCGGACACCAGTCCAATGGCCATGGAGCAGAGCGCAGGCTCTTCCTGGTTGTTCAGGGCGTTGTACAGGAATGGAGAAAACGCCTCCATGTACTTCTGGAAGTCTTCCTCGAGCGCGGTCGCGATCGAACCGATGGCGGCAAAAACAGTGTCTGGAACACTGGACTTGGGAGGCAGAGACGATAGAAGGCTCAGCAGCGCCTGCATGATACGGTCGGATTGGGGCCTAATGTCGCTCTCCAATCGCTGGATGATGGCCATGATGACACTGGCCAAGCTGGTCTGCATCTCTTCGAGAGTCAGCTTGTCCTCAACGTTGACAACCTGAGATTGAAGTGCCATAGACTTCTCCAGGCGCTCTAGAATGACGTTGGAAAGCTCGTTGACTAGAGGAACACTGTCGCCGGCGGCGTTGTTGACAAAGGAGTTGAGTACTTCGTATGCTGCTGTGCGGAGGGTGTTGTCAGCATCAGCTCGCTCGGTAACCTGCAAAAGGCTCTGCACACTCTGAGCGAAATGGGGCGACAATGGGTTAGTTTGGCATCCGGGCTCTCCTGCGAACCTGTCGGCCAAGTTCATCAACGACCAACAGCAGGATGCAGCCATCTTGGGGTTGCTGGCCAAACCGTTGAACAGAGCTCCGATCAGAGGAGGCAGATGCTGCTGTGCGTCGAGCGCACTAGGAACAGCCTCGCAGATACGGCCCAAAGCGTAGGCGGCGGAGTCCTTGACGTGGATGTTCTGGTCGTCCATCATTCCGATCAAAGTAGGCAGAGCCTGCTTAACAATCGGGTCAAGCACCGACTCCTCAGGACCTTCCATGATGGCACCGAAGGCGGAAACGGACGCATCCCGGTAGTGCCAGTCTTCGGAGCGGATGTACTTCTCGATGAAAGCGAGAACTGGCGGCATGACACCGCTACCGACACATTGTGCCCAGAGCTGTAGACATTGGTATGCCGCGCGGGAGGTGTTGTATTCGTTGTCGTCGGCATCCTCGTCCTGCTTGGCAAGTAGCTCTAGTAACACTGGAACAACCTCTTGTGTGGCAACTCGTGCAAAGTTGAAGTACTCCCTAAGCTCGGTTGAGCCCTCGGCTTGTGCCTGTGTGTTGTCGTCCTCGATAGCAATTTCCTCCTCGCAGACGGTGCACCAAAACTCGACAGCCAGCTTGGCAACATCCTCCTCGTCGCTCTTCATGCCTTGGATGGTAAGGCCAAATAGCGCCTTCTCCATGTAGAAGCGCATCTTGTCGTAGTAGAGACCCATGATGCGGTTGAGACACCCGTACGAGCCCTGCTGAATGCGGCTGTCTTCCGCTTGTGTGGCCTCGCAGATGACCTGCATGATGTAGTTGCGCTCGCCCTCATTGTCGAAGTTTGAACGCACAAACTCGATTGAGTCGCTGAGCGCGTTGATGGCCGCTACACGGACGTCGTTGTTGGTCTCCTCCTTGCGGGCACCTTGGACAACCGCCGTCAAGATAGCGTTGGAGTGATGTGCTAGCGCGTCCCTCAGCTCTACGTCGTCTGTGTCACAAACAAAACCAATTGTGGTAAGTGAAGATTGCTTCTGGGCGTCGGTGCCCTGACCGACACTCTCGACGAGCGTGGTCATCAGCTCCGGCCATTGATTGCGGGGTATCTCGATAGCGGCGACGGAGGCGATGAACTGAGCGGCAGCTGAGCCGACATTCTTGTTTGGTGTAGCCAGAGTACGCAGGGCCATCTCCTTGACCTGCTGCTTGATCTGGGTGTCGAGGTTGAGCCATCGTTCTTGGACCTGACGTAACCGGGCATACTCGCGGGCGGTGAAAGCGTTCTTCAGGGCCAGGGCGGCGGCCTGTCGGATCTGGGGCTGGGCTTGTTCATTTGCGAGTTCGCCACCGAGGACGGTAAGGTATTGAGGCTGAAGCGAAAGGCGTTAGTGGGAGTGTTCTGAGCATACCTCGGGAAGCACATGCAGCCTTCTGACGGTGGGGGGACTTACAAAGTTGGAGTCGGCTGCCTGGATGAGCTGCTGCTCTGCGCTGTTACGGATGCTAGCGTCTGCAGAAGAGTCAATGGAGCTTCTAGAAGAATGTAGATAGAAAGCATACCGGCAGCATAGGTCCCCTCCAACACCTGGTTGATGTCCATAATTGCTGAAGGGTGCTTCGTGGACTTAAGGCGGGGTATCTAGCGTTGCGAAGAATTAAAGAGCCGCGGTGGCGGGAGAAGCAGAAGGTGGTGCGGCAGGAAGGCAGAGAGAGTGTACAAGTTGCGGTGGGCGGTCGTCGTAGGGAGGGAATTTGAAGCGAAAGAAGGTCGAGCGTAGACAGGCCTAGTTCACGTGTTGTTTTCCTCCTAAAGGGTCTGCCCCACTAACAGAACGGACTTTTGGTGCGAGGAGACGGGTGTAAGAGCAACGGATCAAAGAGCAGCAAGCAAGATGACAAACAAACACTGCGTTTGTTTGATATGGAGATGTCGTCGGGTTTGTAGGGGTGAGACCGGGCAGAAATTTATTCTTCTGCTTGCTTCAGGCACCATCGACGAGTTCGCCGGCAGCTTGGAGGAAAGAGCGCCCGCCTGGCAACGGCGCATTGGCTCGCTTGCGCATCGTGCTTTCCCCCCCAGATTCCAGCTCGCGCTCCCGCATGCAGCCCTGTGGAAGCCATGACACTGGAACGAGGGTCTACCGTCCTGCACAGACACTGCATAGAGTTATGACATCCAGCCGTCTTGTGCATTACCCTCGAGTCGTCGACTTGGCTGTGTTGTAGACCCATCTTGAAGCCAAGCCACGACCTGCAGGCCGTCAATCACCTCGAGGCTATTGGACAACGCGCGCACATCATCATGACGAATAGCATGGATGCGCATTCCTGTACGTCGACATTATCATCGCGGCAGCGTGCATGACAGCATGTTCTTGAGAGCAAGGTAGTCATGACGGCAACCTGCAGTTGAGCTCTACATCCAGAGTACCATCAGGCCGGAGTGAGACATGAATGCTGCAAAGTATATGGTAGGCACTATGTACAATGCAATCTAATGCCCTCGCTCTGACTCCGACAAACACCTGTCATGCACCAATGCTCCATCGAGACAAAAGAGATTCTTACATCCTCCCAGAAGCACGAGGGTCCTCCGCCTCCTTCTTCCTCCAATCTCTCATTTCCTTCGTCCCCAAACTGCCCAGTCCTCCCTCTCCTCGCCTCTCCCATCCACCCAATCGAACGACAAGACCGGTTGCGTTGTCCGCGCCTTCACTGCCAGTCGAAGTCTCAGTAGCAAAACTAACTACGTCTCTCGCAGCCTGCTCTGGTGTCTTCGCTTCTTTGACAATATCCACTATCTCCTGATCAGAAAGGTGCCCAGACACGCCGTCGGAGCACAAGACGAGGAACGAGTATTCTGCTGGCGAGAGTTCTATTCTACGAATCTCAGGCTCGGCAGATACTCCGACGCGTTTATGTGCCATGTCGCCAAAGGAACGCGTGTTTGCGAGGCCGGACATGCGCTCCTCACCAAAGGAGTCAGTTACAAATGAGGCAGCGAAGCGGCGGAGGCGGGTGGCCTCTTCGGGGAGAGAGGGGTGGTGATTGGATGTCAAGGGAACAGCCAGACCTGTTGCCGTGTTACAGAGTAGTATTCTAGTATCTCCAACGTGAGCGGTGATGAGGGAGGATGGAGACGAAGGATGCCAGAAGGGAGACGGCGTGGGTGTAGAGATGAGAGCTACACTGCACGTGCTGCCTCCTTTAAAGCGACTCGTGCCCCCGATGTGCTTGGTAGTCGTGCGCGAGGGCTGGCCAAGGATGTCATCGTCGTTCAGAGCTTTGTCCGCACGAACAGGGTCCTCTTCCTTCTTACCGACCTGAGCAGCAACGAAATCGTAGTCGGCTTTGAGGAAAGCATATTCTAACACAGTCTCGATTCCGATGCCTTCTTTGATGTCGTCAGGTATCGCTGGGGAGCTCGTATGGCGCTTTTCGATGACTTCTTTCTCCGCCGGATGGCCGCGTCCGCCTGCAGACATGGAAAAGTACTCTGGCTTGAAGCGTCTGAAGTATCCGCCTACAAGCTCCTTCCATTGCTTGACCAAGTGCTGTTCTAGCTCCTCAGCTTTCCGCACGCTGTCCGACTGCCGCACTGGCGGGACGCCATCGATTGGACCATCCATAGACTTGGAGCCGGCGGTCGGTAGCTGGTCTTTACTTCCAGGTTGTGGCGGCTTCATAGCTTTTGTGCCTGGTGGCGTATGCGTCTCGATAGCGTTCAGACTCTCCTTGTCTCTTTGCCTTCGATCGCCAGAAGATGCCTCGCCTTTGGCTTTTGGAGAACCAGACTGCGTCTCTGTTCTTTCCCGCGTGAGACTGCTCTTGAGCTCGAATTGCTTGGTCGCCTTCTCGAGGTCGTCGTGCAACTGCTCCCTCAAGAAGCCAGAGCACTCGGCGCCGCCATGTCCATCGAAGACACCAAAGTAGAAGACCTGAGGATCTCCACTGGCACCCACGTCCGGCGTGACTTCGTCGTTGTCCGCGCTCTGTCCCTTTCGGCTTAGAGACATAGGTCGCCGCCGTGCAAATGCGGGGAGATCGATGGTACCTGCCTGGAACGCATCTTCGTTGTATGGCCGCGTTCCTCGCGACAACGAGACACCAAAATGGTGTTTCGCGCTCTTCAATGGTATGCGTACGACGGTCATTTCGCGCGACGTGCCCACGACGGCAGCCGGCGAGCGACCTGACCCGTCGGCATTGTAGGGCGTGCTTTTGTCGCGCGGAAGCTTGTGATGCAGCGCAGGTTGCGCAACTCGCGAGTCGGGGTGCAGTGACGTCGAGGGTATGTGTGTGATGAAGTATTCATGGAAGCAGCGTCGCTGGCGGGGAAGGTACGAAGTCGTCGAGGAGAGCCTGGAGGCGTGCGCGCAGATGCAAGCAACCCGAGGCCTTATAGCGCCTCTTTGAAGGTGGAGGTTCGGTTTCCACATGTCGTCTCTTGCTGCGAAGGACGCATGGCGCGGATAAGTAGGTAGTTATGTCATGGTTGGTGACCTTGGGATAACCAATTCCAAGCTCCAAACTCGCCATGTTCCCGCTGTTCCTGGGGCCGCATTCCCGCGTTTGGCCCTATCGGGACGTCATCCGCTGGACCTTTCTCCATCACTCCGCCGAGGTAAATCGTAATTCGCCGTAGCGTTCATTCCATATCCACGATTACCTTTCTAGTTGAGAGTTCTGGTACTAAAGCTCTATAAGGATCTTTTTACTGCGTTTCAGAACAACGATCAAATGCAACACGACAGCGCATCGCAAACCACAAAGTAAACGGGGATTGGAGATCGAGTATGTAATTCCGTATGGTATATTTGAATTCTGACATAACATTATAATAAAGCTTTTGAATGTTGATAACAGGTTGGACTATCCCTGAACCTTCCACTTTTATCTCGATCGCGTCATATACTCGGAGCTCATATATATAAATCTGTACATGCACATACATGTGCATCACACTATGTCAATCTCCCTCGCCTTCGTTGTCACTGTTGGGACAGGACTCATTCTCCCTTTCACTACAACCATTCTTTGCACATCCGCCGTCGCAACAATGGTCGGACTCCAAGGATCGACGAGATCCTCACTCACTCTGTACATGCTATGTCTCTTGTTCTTCATCGCTTGAGCAGCAGATTCCTGAATCGTCAGCGCGATGGTATCATCGGATTGTTGAGACCCCTTGCGTGAGTGTGAGTAGTGAGACGCTTTTGATCGGACGTCAGAAGCTATCTGGCGAAAAAGAGGGCGAAGAATAGCGATTGAGGCTGCGATGATGCCAGTGCCCGGTTCAGCAGTTGCCCAGATTGTTGCTTTTACAGATTCAGCTGTGAAATTGTTAGTACGAGTAACCATCAACTCCGTTTGGGTAAAGCACTTACCTCGTAGACCGCCTGCATGTAAGCCCAGTCCCTTCAAGTAGACCATCCGGAAGATCGAGCTCACGCTACCTACTGCACCAAGCGCCATGACGATACTAACACTGATCTTGCTTCTTCGGTCGAGGTCGCTGTCCAGTAGAACGGTGATAGGGATCAGGACAAATGTCCAATCAGCGATGACATTGATGACGCCGTAGAGGTAGCCCGAGGTAAGAAGAAGAGCAGACGGCAGGCAATTAGGGGAAGACGGTGATAGCAGACTGTCGGCGAGGCGTGTTGGGTCGCCGCACTGAAAAAGAGCGATGAAGACGTAGTAGAGGCCATACGTCGCACTGATGGCGAGGATGACATGAAATATGAGCTTTTGCCATTTCTCGGTAAGAACCCTAAGGAAGAAAAGTCCCAGCGAGACTTTGAGGAATGTCGTAGTGAGGATGTAGAAGACTTCAGATAGTTGAATAAACTGTCAGAATATTAGCACTGTTGTGAAGAACTGGTATCTGGAGGTACGTACAATTAAAGTTACGTGAATGGCCTCTTCGCTGAAGAGGTTTCGGTCAGAACTTCGAAAGGTGATTGCGAGTATGAATGCACAATAGCAGGTAAACAGCATAAGTGTCGCTGCCATCGCGGCGTCATCCCATCCTGGAGATCTCGTGATGCGATATCGCACCCAAAACCGTAGACCGACTGTGATGTAGCTGAGAATGAGAAGGGTAATTATAAGGTAGAACGTAATCGAACCAAGGAGCACCAGCTCCTGAAGCTTTCCGCTTTCCATCGTCTAGAAGAGAATAAACATTGGAGTAGAGGAGTAAGGTCCGAGATGGAAAAAAGGGCCAACCAGACACTGGCGGAGAATCGACGATCGAGAGAAGCAGCACGACGGTAAAGGGTCCGAAGTGCAGGTAGAGGTGGCCGTGGCATTATGAACGCATGGTTTTGTACATGATAGTCCCGGTAGCAAGCATCCCGGGTGGACGCGTTGCATGTATGGTGAGGGATCGGATGTATGGTATGTGTCAAGAACTTTGTTATCTTGCGAGTGAGTAGCGATTGGCTACGGACAGCCGTGGTAACCTGAATGGTTTGTGATTTACCTGGGTACCGTGTGAGAAACATCCCAGACGTTTAGCATCTAGCGATGTGACCGAGGTGGGTCATGTCCCGCATAATCCACCACAGTGTTCTCCGAACTTCATCGAACGTTTGGCGCTTGGTCTCCCCTGTCATCGGGATGCCTCGAGAGCATGTGCCGGTCTTTGAAACACGATACCTAGCCCCAGCTGATGGAAACCAGGAGAGTGGAAACGCTTGAGAGAATGACCTCAAAAGATGAGGTGTTCAAGTAGAGCGAAAGGCGAAGTAGGAAGCTGTATGGTGTTATAGCTTGCGCCCACCAGTAAAGTCAAGCATCACTACCCAGTCACGTTGAAGCTGCAACCTTGAACAACCAGGGCAGAGGTATGATATCCACAAATTGTTTCGCTTTTCTACTGGCAATACAAGTTTTGATGTTCATTCGGCCTCTTCACCATTTGACTCCGATATGCCGTAAGAGGCATTCCTAACGTTCTTGAGTTAACGAACCACCGAGTTTTCCATTCCATAGCGTCTCGATCTGTTCTCTAGACGCGATAGATTGATATGCTGGATAGTCCTCATGTTTGACTAAACAGTCTGTGTTTGACCATCGAACGTGAGGCGTGTTTCGCGTGGGGCTAACGCAGACGGGAACATCCCCAAACAATACACGTGCAGGTGCGGCAAGCCTGTTTGATCGCCCAACAGCGGGACAGAACCAGACTTGCGGATTCCTGAGGCGGGGATTACTTGTGAGGCAAACGATTGTAGAGGCCAGAGGTGTCAAGGCGGCGGGAGGGCCCGTGTGTTTGGAAGTGGTCCGGCCTTTCGGAGATATATATATTCCGGTCATAGCGTCCCGGCAAAAGTCTTCTTCATCATCCTCGACCTGCGCGTCTTGACTTTTACACCAACCATGAACAACTACAACAGCGCGCGTACTCTGTAATAGCCTTTGATCAAGGTTCTTAGCAGATGCTATTGCGCAATGCCAGTATGATCATGTAGTCTCATACTTAGTGCAACGCAGCACTCAAATACAGCAATTTGGTATGTTTAGTCCTGTCCTTCCCTCCTTTTTCATGATGAAAAAAAGACAAAATTCACAGACCTGTTCGTAAAAATTGTGTCGAAAAATTTGCTTTATATAATCTGATTACCTTCTTTGGCTACCTGCTTCTCAGCTTATGCATTTGGGAGCTCTACAGCTAACAAAGAACAGATACATGAATTTGTGATTCTTTCCGAAGTCCTCTTTCCTAGGCAGTTGGGCGACTTGTTTCGATGCAACACCTGCATGAAGTAAACCATCGCCACAATGTTCAGTGATAGCGATACATGACAGCGATGGAAGGACTCGAACAATGCTGGTATTTCACTAGCTGGTTACCCTTTGATGACCGCTTTATAGGCTCAGCACAACGATGTGCACCTCCAGATACTTTTCCTACATTCCTTTGTTCAATCTAAATCTGTGACTTTACAAGACTCGATGAAAGGATGTTATGATCTCTCATATATATGCGATATGCGCCTTGCTATCTGTGCGTCCCGTACGCTTTGAATCTATCAGGAAATCTTCCGATATGTATTCGACTATTGTTTCACAATCACCAGTTTCCCCAAGGATCGTATCGAAGGATCAACTAGCAACCCCATTTACCCAACCCGATCATCAGGCAGCATTTGTAACCCCTGGCGATCGTCGAGATCACTCAGCCGTAAATAAGTCGATAGCGGATGCATACCTACGGAGCACCGGCGCTAATGTAACATACAACCACAGCCAAGCTGAATTCCGCGAGTTCAATGGCTCCGAGAGCGTGCTTGGTCTTCCCAATGCAGTCGACCCTTGCCTTCTTGGCGACTTCGATCTGAAGCAGTTCAATATCAATGATGGACTCGAAGACAATACCTTCGGTTCAGACGCGTTTGCGTGGGCGGGAACCAATGATACGGACGTGGCTATGGATGGGGTGCCAACGGACGGCTTTGCTGCCAATTCAATCCAGTTCAACGGATTCTCTCAAGAAAACCAGGTTGGACTTGGTTTGTCGTTCTCAGATGCCAATGCTGATCAGGATAATCAGCCAGGACAGAACTTCGATCTGAGTGAAGCTGGGCAGAGTCTATTTGACTTCCCTCCTACAGAGCCGTTTGGTAGCCGAACTCTAGATTCCAACATCGGTTATTCTCAAGACATCCATTCCTGGGATCCTAACTTTCAAGCACCATCTCAGCTTCTAGACACCACACCCGGATTTTCTGCGCTTCCTAGTGGCAATGTCTTTGTACCCGATATGTCACAGTATGCAGCCATTGGCCAGAATCCACAGGTGTATCCTGATCCTTATGGTTCAATGTACCCAGCCCAGCCATATTTTCAATCTATACAACATCCGTATGCGCAACAATACACCGGATATGTCGCGATGCCAGCAGAGTATCATACCGGAACACAACAGCTCGATACCATACAGTCTTCGAGGTCTCGCCGATTCAGTCGTCCCTGCCGGACTTTCACTACTCATCAGCCACCTCAACGAAAACGTGACCGATCTGAGTCTGGGTCTGACAACGACGTGTCCGTTGTCAAGCGACCTTGCGGGCAGCCTACCAAACGTGCTCGGTCCTCACCAGATTCTCGCCACCACTCTGAGGTTTCCAACACCAGCTCCGTGAGCAAGCCAGTCAAGGTAGCTGTGGTCAAAGCTGGAGAGAAACCGAAAAAGTGCGATGACAAGCCCTGGGTACGTGTCAACAACACGACCAGGGGCGAAACCACACGCACTGCTCGCATCAATCAACACGCCGAAGAAGGTCGGAAGTACAAGTTCAAGGATCTTCCCCATAGCGATTGGGAAACCTCCAAATACAAGTTTGAGTACAGTCAAAACAATGGTATGCATGAGTTCAAGAAGCGCACCATGTCTGCTCGTCAGATTCACGAGTACATCACCCAGTATCCTTTTGATAATCTCCGCATATGGATCCAGCCAGTAGCTTCAGACGTGGCACGTCGTTATGCTTCTGCCTCTCACAGCCATTGTCGCTTCGAGAAGTGCCCAATGCGTGTGTACACTGGCAAAGGCACCGCCGAAGTTGGCAACTACCGCGTCGCATTCGACGAAAAGCACCGAACGTACGGCACTGGCGTAGCCGATCCATATGACTGCGTCGGTTACGCTCATTTGTATTGCATGGAGCGTTTCTTAGACTTTGCATACATCTGCCAGGTTGCTGACGTTAAGGTTGATCAACGTGTAGCCATGGAAAAAGAGCCTAGTGGTCGCTTCGGCTCCGCGTTTGGCCCAAAACATCATTATGAAGCGGCATTGACTAGCAAGTTCATCGAAGCTGCTAGCAAAGGCCGACTAGCTGATACTCACGAATTTTCTGATTACCCTGTTCATGAAGACTATGAGCGCGGTGAACCCAAACCGCACGAACGTACGCTCATCTACAAACTTTACGGTATGAACATGGAGCATCGTGCAAAATCGCAGATGAAACAGTTCATCCTCCAGCGAAAAATCCGTCCCGGCTCGTTCCCTGTTCATCGCGGTGATATGGAGGTCAAGCTTGTTGACAAGAAAATAGAGAAGACCGATGCCTTTGCGGAATTCAAGAGGAGTGGGTCTAAAAAGGATTTCGACTACGCTGCTTACTACGATTTGTTTCACCCTGAGATCAATCGGCGTATCAAGGAATGTGAAGATCTACGGGATCGATTCATCGCCGAGGATGCAGCGGGAGTTGCTACAAAGCGCTCTAAAACACGTCGAGCAGTTGCTTTTGCGGGATCTGGCGATGAGACTCAGGCTCCTAGACGAAAGCGCTCCAAAAAGCGCCAGCCTTCTGATAGCGGCTCATCCAGCGACGAACGACCGGCTACCAAAAGCTCGTCCACTATTCGTAAAGCCGCTGCCGACGAATCTGAAGACTCGGACGCGTTTGAAGAGATCGGCACTAGTATGGAGCATCGACAACCCCGCCGTTTGAGTCTTCGTAAGAAAGAGCGTATTGACTACTCTGAACCAGAAGACATTCCACAGTCCATTTCCCAATACAACTATCTAATTCCCGGCTACGCACCCGCCCAGGCCTTCGATACCCGAAAACAGAGTCTTAGCAGCCTCTTTCCCGCCAACAATGACCCGACGTGGGATAACTTAGACCTTGAAACCTTTCATGTTGATGGTGACGAAGGATTTATCGATGAAGCTGATATCGATGCTCTCATCAACGCCAAGTGTCGCCGTCAATCTTCTACTTTATGCAAAGGACCGAGTGTCTCGGCTCTGATGTCGCCTATGCTACAACATGCGCCTCGTACGGCTAGTTTCAACGTGCAGCCAGTGACTTGTAGTAAGGAATTTCGACTCGACGACCCGCCGAGTTGTATCGCTTCGTCAGGTGATATTACGCATGATAGTCAAGATCAGTACCAGCAGAATCGTCGCAGCAAGCGTCTGGCAAGTAAAGTTACATCGCCTTCGTCAATTACTGATTAGACTTGGAAAAAACACACAAAGGTTGATATATCGCTCTAGAATTTAGGTATTATTTGACATATTCATATCATTAATCTTCAATGTTGCATAAGTAGAGAATACCGCCCTACGATATAAATTCCCTCGTGTATTGAGGTAGTTTTGGTGTTGGCTCGTAGAGCAATCTGTCCATGACATGAGCAACTCAAATGGTATATCTATTCAATTCAGCTTGGGCTATCAAATTATCTGCATTCAGCTGGCTATGGTTGTACTAATCGCATAGTATGCTGAAGACGTTCACGGTGTTGCATCGCAAGCTGCATCCACAAATCAGAACACGAAACAATTAGGCTCTCACTTACCTGCTCAAACCAGTGACTTGAAAAATTCTAGGGTTGATTCGGCTTGCCGAGGCTGGGAGGAGCACAATCACTTTCTGTAGGAATGATGGAGGTGACCCACCAGCAAGTATCCCCACTCGTTAGTCATTCGTGACTCTCACTTATCCAATCGTGTTACTTATGATCCCGGACATGGGTATCTCTTTGTCATACTGTGGAGTAGTGTCTAAAAGATTGCGTAGCTGCCTTGGCTTAGTAGCGTGTACCAACAATGCTCAACTCAAGCCACTAAGTAACCATGGCTTGAACATTTCCCCTCCGTCCAAATTTGGATTACACTGCTTCTGTTCCTTCGTTTGACCATTTCGACAGTCCGAAAAGTAGTCACACCTCCCCGTCGCGCACGTCCAAAATCCCCAGCCAGCCATGTTTGTGTAAGCGCCTGCTCGATCCTGACGGCTAGCCATTTTGCAGTGACAGCGCGGGTTTTCGTTGTGCACGCCCATATCGTCGTCCCATGTTATCCAGCCTTCATCGCGGTTCCCCGTGCCTTGTCTACTTTTATTCGCACACTGAACACACTTGTAGTAGGGTCGACCTGCGTTCCCGTTATGATTGTACGGCCCGACAATGTTGCTGGACTTAGGGGTCCAGCCGCAACGGCAACCCGGCTTCGGTGAAAGAGGGAATTGCGGTAGTATTGAGCGTTTTGTCACGAGCAGTTCTGTGTTCCAAGGTTATGTTTACTTGTGACTGTTGAAGGATATGTATAGTAATATTTAGGTACTTACCTTCCCGTATGGGGATCTCTCGCACTTGCATGAGTATCTGCATGAGTATTGTTGCCGTCGATTCTTGGATCCGCCTATTTAGTGTATGCTTGAGAGCAAGGTTTTTCTTCGTTGTCTGAAGAAAGCAATATTAGGAAACAGGTCTGCGTGAGTCCAAGTTGTATACCCCGCAGTCAGCCTGGTCATGTGTAACCTTGACAACAAGCACACTGCGACTATCATCCCCCTTCCGGAAATCAGCATCACAGGGTCGGTCGATCGAAGCTTAAGGATACCTACTTAATTTATAATGTCAGAGCTTTTGACATCAACGCTCGTAGTTATCACGCTGAGTACCTGCACTCATCTGCTTTTCGCGTATGTCATCGGATCCTGAGGTAGGTAGGTTCGCCCCAACTACTCAAACGTTACCTGGCTAGCCTTACTATCCGTGCGCAGTCAACGAGCCAGTACAGTCAACGAGCCACCCCACCAAACTGCCGCATCGTGAACCCACCCACCTTTGACGCGTCGTAACTCCACAACCATGGATCCGATTCAAGAAGCGATTGAATATATCAAATCGCGTGAGGCTGGAGATAAATTCTCGTACCGCCAAGTTGCGAAAATATTTGGAGTTGATCGAACGACGCTGTCGCGACAGCACAAAGGCGCACAACCGTCCAAAGCTGAACAAGCTGCCCAAGACCGCCGAAATCTCAACCCACAACAAGAGCATGAACTTGTGCTATACATAGAACGTTGTAATCGCCGAGGGCTTCCTCCTACGCGTGAAATAATACAGAATTTCGCGGCGACGATAGTCAAAAATAAGGTTTCCACAGCCTAGGTTTCCCGCTTTCTGCATCGCCATGCCGACGAGCTTACTATTAAATAGAGCACCGGGATTAATCGTAAACGTCACAACGCTAATTTAGAAGAAAGATACAGTCTATACTTCGACTTGTTGCATTCAAAAATGCGAGAGTACGACGTTGACGCGCGCAATACCTATAATATAGATAAGAAGGGCTTCTTTATCGGCATCACAAACCGCACAAAGCGCGTCTTTTCTAAGGCACTATGGGCGTCGGGAGAGATTAAGGCGGCGATACAGGATAGCAACAGAGAATAGGTAACGCTGCTGGCTTGCGTATGCGCTTCTGGTGAGGTATTGCCGCCCGCTATTATATACAAGGGCACCGCCGGGATTTAATCGAGCTAGGTTGACGCTGTTAAGGTCGCAAAACATGAGATTTTCTTCTCAAACTCAGCAACGGGATAGAGCAACAATAATATTGGCATAGCGTAGCTTAAACAGGTATTTAAACGCTTCACGAAGCTAAAAGCAAGACAGGATTACCGGCTTCTAATCCTTAATGGCCACGGCAGCCATGTATCAACTAATTTTATAGATTTCTGCGATGGCAACCGCATCCTGTTGGCTATCTTTCTACCCTACGCAACCCACAGCTTGCAGCCACTTAATGTGGTTGTGTTCGCTCTAATGTCGAAAGCATACTCGAAACAACTCAATCGCCACCTCCACGAGTCTTACAGCACGGCAAAGGCAACAAAAAGAGAGTTCTTCAGCCTCTTTTAGCCCGCTTAGAGCTCTACAATAACTCTAGATCTCATCAAGAAGAGTTTTCAAGCTACTAGGGTGTGGCCGATAGATGCTCAGGTTATCCTAAAACGCTTCAACAAACACCCACAACAACAAGATAAGACTCCAGAAATTAGGCAGCACGGCGACGGTGATAGCTAGCGTGAGCTGCGAAAAGTTTTTAACGCTGCGGTTAGGGATAAGTCAAAAGTTAAAGCCCAGCAGCTTAAGGCTTCATTTTGGTCTCTACAGGTTCAAAACGAGCTTCTCCACCACGAGAACGAGTATCTCAATCGCTCCCTTAACACTAAAGCAAACGCTAAGAAGAAGAGCAAGACACTAGACCTTCAACAGCGCAAGGAGTATCACGGCGGGGCAGTATTCTAGTCCCTAAGAAAGCTCCGCGAAGCCAGGTATCGCGAGAGCGTACGAGAAGAGCAAAAGAAGCAGGAACAACTCCAAAAGGCTAAGGATAAGGACCTCAAGGCGGCGGCAAAGCTCTACAACCTCAAAATATCAGAAGCTGCAAAGGTTGCTCGACAAGAAGCCAAAATAGAGCGTGAGCGCAAGCAGAAACAGCGCGCTGAAGAAAAAGCAGCTGCCGAGGCGCTTAAACAACAACAACAACAAGCTACAACACCAAAAAAAACTCACGATACAGCAAATAAGCGTAAGCGAGAAGCCTCAGCCAAGCCAGCAAAAAAACCAGCAAAGCGTCGTCGTGTTGTTGCTCCATCAAGCCAGGTGGTTGAGGGTCCGCCTCGGGCGCCCTCCCCACCCAAATTTGGCCTGCACACCCGCCAAATCAAGACGCCAGCGAGATACAAGTAGTGCAAACGCTTTAGTAGCGTCTATATAGTAATACACCAAAAAATCTCACGATAATAGCTTTTGTGGGTGGCTCAATAACCTCATCTTTTTGGTCGTCCGATCTTGGTGGGGTGGCTCGTTGACTGTACTGGCTTGTTGACTGCGCACGGATAGTATTGGTGCTGCGTAACGTTTTTGAGTAATACCTATCTCTTCAATTTATTGTCACTTTGGTTTTACATCAATATATCCTCACCAAGACCAAACTTGCTATCGAAGCAGACCAGATTATAAATGGCAAGTTGCAGCTTCAGAACATGCCAAGGCCGAATCCAGGCTACCTAGGTACAGTATCAAAGCTAACTCGTAACAGGCAGCATAGGTATCCTACAATAGCTTCTTCACAATTCGTAAGCATGTTTTATAGCCTTTCGACTCCCTTGCCCCTGCACCACTGCAGCAACGACTAAGTCTTTACCTTGCTTTGTCACTAAGTCAACAAAGAAATAATCACCTTCTGCGATTCACGCCCTCCTGCAGATACCACAAATCTGATTCCACCATGCTATCGCAGATATGTACCCACATTAAATCATGGTGGCAACAGACACCTTTGCCAACAACAACGGCAACGTCTAGCTTCCAAAAATGGCACGACTTTAATCAAGGACTGTGGGTTCCATTTGTCAATGACAAAGCTTCTCAGCCTGGCACCAGACATCAATGGGCGGGCTCGTTCCGCCTTGTGAGTTGGAACGTAAGTGCAGATGCGCCGTTACCGAAGGTTCGTATGTCTGCACTACTGCAGATCATCAAGGATATGGGAGCTGCAGATGTTGTTTTCCTGCAAGATGTATCAAGGGAATCGCTTACAGCACTTCTTGAAGATCTTTGGATACAGCAAAATTGGTACATAAGCGATGTCAATTTCTCCGCTTTCGGAAAACAAAAGTTTATCAGCATCAATTTGGTGTCAAAGCTTTGGGTAGCCACGGATGGTATCGTGCTAGGCGCTATCTGGAGGGTTTCGTTACCTAGTCGCTTTGAACGAGACGCCCTATGCTGCGATTTGATTCTGAACTCCTCGAGCAAGCACACCTCTGGTAGAAGTTCCCTCCCGATTCGACTTGTTAATGTCCACTTGGATTCGTTACCAATCAACCCGTCACTAAGGCCGCACCAGCTCTCCATCTGCGCGTCGTACCTCAGCGCAGCTGGCCGCGGGATCATCGCCGGCGACTCCAATCCCGTTCTCCCGGAAGACAACGACCTTGTCCGCACCAACGATCTTACCGATGCGTGGGTACGCCTTCGCCCAAATGACCTAGGCCACACTTGGGGTGTATACGGCGAACAGTCTTTCCCGCCAAACCGGTTGGACAAAGTTGCTCTGTTTAACCTTACCCCTTCCGGCGTGGGCATCCTGCAAACAAGCGAATTGGAATTCTGTGGCGAGAAGACTTTGACTGATGTAACGGGGTTGGGTTTGAAGGCGCATTTCAGCGATCACTTTGGTCTTTGGTGTGATGTTGGATGGGCAGAAGACCGACCATAGCCGAGATGATAGTTGTTCGAAGACAATTCTGAAACTGGACATCTTTCGTCATGTACGAGTTCGAGAGAACAGGTCTGGGTAGCCATGAGGAGTTGCTGCGTGCCTGCCTGGAGTCGTATGGGAGCTGCTTTGAGGCGTATGTTTTACATATTCTAGATCTAAGACGAAAGCATCGATCTGAGCAATGGAGTCTTTGACAAGCGTTATCTCTCCACGGTGTTTAGAACAGAAAAGTGAGCGGTTGTCCAGTCTCTGATTCCTAGTCCTGAAGGTGAAGGCTTGCGCGGTTGCAGATTATTCGCACAACTAGGACAAAGGTGAGCTAGCGTGCTAGACCTGAGCATCCTGAGGCGTGGCGGTGCAGGCCGATCAAATCTTGAGCTGGGCAATTGTAACAAGACCCTTGAAAGGTCGGTTCCCCGCTCAGCGCCGTGGGGCAGCTCACTAAACAGGTCATGAGAGGAACCGGCAGCGATTTCAGTGATAACCAGGAAAAGAGAAACATAGGTAGCTATCTAGGTAGGTTGGGAAAAAAAGACAGTCTAGAAATATCGAAAGCGCATTTACCGTACCAGGAATAGCCATGATGAGTTTTGCTTTAAGTAATTGGGTAGTGCGAATATTGATCGGCATCGGTCTAGCCGCGGCCATGTTCTCAGCGGTTGGACAATGATGGAATCACAGCAGTGGAGGAATGAGGCACATGTTACAGCCGCTCAACACTTTCCCCCCGGTTCTGTTCTAGCGAAGCGTGAACCGTCTTTAACGTTCGCATTGCTATAGTTTCGCGCATGATAAGAACGTGAAACATCCGTCCCTACCTCGGCCAAATCGTGCGCAACACGGTGCTACTGTACTACCACTACTACCACAACCACCACGTCCAACGTTCGCCGTACGTACCGTTGTATCGCTTCGCAGCCCCACTAGACTATTTATCAGCAAGCGCTTCCATCAGGAACCAGAAAGAATGGTTTCCCGCACATCGACACCGTCGCGATCGCGTTCCTCTTCCAACAGCAGCAGTTCTTCTGATACCACTATGATTGACGCGCCACCGCAATCACCAAGTCGCCCGGCGCGCCTCCGCAACCCATCGCATAGCGCCGCTCTCCCGACGTCCACAGTTCTGCAAGCGCAAACTGACGAGACACAACTCGATCCGTCATTCTCCCTCCTCTTGTCTCTACCGAGAGAACTCCGCGATCGCGTCTATACATACGCATTAGTTTCTAGTACCCCGTTCTTATGGCCTACTAAAGCGCCCGAATCCTTGCCCAGCAAAACTCGTAGTATCAACGTAAGCCTTCTACGGACAAACAAACAAGTCCACAATGAAGCGGTGGACATTCTGTACTCGCAGAACAAGTTCCTGTTCACACACCCTAGCGATTGTAACGTCTTCCGTGTTATAACGTCGCCCGCCTCCGTCAACATACAGAGCGTGTACTTTCGGATAAAAGACAAGGACCTGGGATTGTGGACACCGTATCTGGGGAGCAAGTCGGGAGAGAGGAGTCTCAGAGGGGATCTGCCAAAGTTGAGGAGTCTTTGGGTATTTCTCAGATGGACAATGTGTCCTCACTTCATGTCACGCATACTGACAGAACAGCATGGTGGATTTGTTGGTCCTGTAGGAGGGGTTCAAGGAGGGGCTACGCCATACGGTGTGCATGTTGCTCTTCAGCAACAATCTCAGCACGTCGTAAATCAACTCTTGACCAACACACAGATTGTTGGTGGTGCAGGCGGCCATGCGCATGCCACTGGTAACGCGAATCAGATCCCTCCTCCACCCCCACCAGCTCCAGCAATGCCGTTTCCACAGTTCATGCAAGGAGCGTTGGGTTTAGGTGGTCATGCACACCATCATCACCAAGTACATCCGATACCGCATGCGCATGGCCAGCACAATCACCCACCAAACCCCAGTCCACTGGCACAACATCTCCAACAAGGCGAGACTAATATTTCTGTTCAGCAAACCCCGCTTGCTGTTAGTGGCGTGAACGGACCTGATCCACACAGATTATACTCCGCATTCATCCGTTCCAACCGCTTCAAACTCGTCGTTGAGTCTCTCTGTCTGCAACTGAGCGACGTATTAAACCCCAAAATCACCGGGCCCTTGGAACGACAATCTTCTAGCAAGTCCTCCACGACAACGACAACCACAACAACTGATTCTACGCCATCGAACCCCAGAACGGAAATCAAGATTGTGTGCGCTTCGACACCCGGGAAGAGACAGGTCGAGCGGTTACTCTCCAACTTCCCAGACGAGTTGGTGCTCGATCCTGTAACGCAGGATGCGAGGACAAGGTTTAGGAGAATGCATGGTGTGGAAGTTAGTCTGGAGTTTAATGGACTGAGTAGTACGCATCAGGAAATGGTAGTCGCGGGTGAGGGGACACCGTGGGACTGAACATCCTTGAGTTAGGAGAGAGAGTCATTTTGATGGCCATAATTAAAGCACTTTCATAGCTTGCTGGATGGTGATTATAACATGTCTTCGAATTTCACTGGAGGTATCTGAGTACAGGCTTGACGTTTCATGCATCAAAACTCAGATGGACAACAACAAAATCTACGCATACACGTAGCAAAACGGACCCCCAATAGTACTCATCGCATCCCTGATGGTTATATTTCCCACTCCAACATACTCCCCCAAGGTCAAAACATCGTCCAGCGTTCCCCTGGCCCCTCCATCCCCAACGCCCGATACCCCACCAGCAATCGCGTCCTTTCTCTTCGCGAGGTCAAGATTCTGCCAAGTCCAGTATACACGATCAACCATCGCATGGTGCGGGAAGAACGCCGGATCAGCAGGTGAGTTGATAAAATCTGATCCAGCATCCCCTCCTATTGTGTTGTGCCCGCCAACATGAGCGCCCATCTTTCCTTTTGCAAATTCTCCTCCAAACACGGTTTGGAAACTCCCGATATCTTTGTGGTCTCTGATCAGAGAGGCAACGACGTCATCGCGCGTCTCATTGGCGGATTGCAGGCTGATGTCGCGACTGAGGCAGCGGGGATTGTAGCCTAGGCCGTCAGGTTGGGGGTTCGGTTTCGGAGGGGGCTGTGAGACGGCTGCCAACGGGCCCATGTTGATTTTCCAGCTGAAAAGGGCGTTAGTGGATGTATGGCAATAAAGATGGTGGGGAAGGGCGAGACGTACTCCTTGAATGGTCCTGATGTTACGCATCCTCCTCCACTTCCAGGCTGAAGCTGGATATAGCACATTTCGATTGAGGGGAAGCAGACCGAAGATCTGTTCGCCACATATGCGCCGTCTCCGGACATGCTTGTGCCGCTGCCATCGAAGAGAGGTGAGGCTTTGGGGTTATCTGCCCAGTAGCCCCTAGATGTTGGCGTACGACGTTAGCGTTTGTTCCACATGTGAATTGCATGTGGAAGGTACGTACCAATTGTAGTACGGCTGGTAACCTCTATAGCCGCATTCTTTTCTCAGCATTTGTTCAAACGCCCAAGTGTAATAGCGATGCCATGTCAAGAAATTGGCTGTTCCATGGATTGTGAACGCTTGCTGGATATGGGTCACGACCAAATCATCGTATCGACTCTTTGCGCCTGCAGCGATGGCAGCAGGAGTCTTTGCAGGTAGCTTTGCTAGACATTTGACTGCGTCGATATAATTGTGCCTCTCCGATTCGCTCAAGGTTGACCTGAGGTTTGTGAGCTGAAATGCCGTCAAGGTGGTATGAGTTTAGTTACCATTCCCTTCGTACAGCTACATTATCTAGAGTACATGTTTTTGGGTTCGGCAATGCGTTCTTAGAATAGTAGGCTTCCAGTTTGTGTAGGCCTTGGGCAGCCAGAGAATCAACTTCCTGAGGCTTGTGCTTTGCGCCGACGGTAGTGACTAGTACTGCCAATAAGACGCTGGAGAGCTTCATGATGTTAAGATTTAATTGTACGCGGCTATTACTTGACCATGGAGGAGACGACGTCTTATACTCTACAGCAGTTTATCGTACTATCCACTAAGAAACTCCAGTACCTATTTTCTGCGGAGGCGTAAAGTAGCCAGAAGAGTCTAGCTTATATCGACTAATATACGGTAGGGAAGGTGAAGGATGGTCCTACAGCGGAATGCATGTAGTGGCGAGACTTTGGATGTGGAAGCTCCTCGATTCACGTTCTTAGGTGTGGGGCTTAAAGAAGGAAAGGAAAGGTTCATAGCCTGACAACAGAAGAAACAGTCGGTCTTTGGCAATCGTTCCAGTCAAATCAAAAGCACGGCCTACCCGAGGAGGCGGATTGATGTCGCCGTGGCAGTACGGGATAGCCAACACCACGTGTTCAAGGTGGATAGTTCTCGCGTGGCAATTTGACCCTGCATGTAAGTATGTTGATTGGATTGCCGGCGGAGAACCCATGTTCTGGCTCGCAAATATTATCCCAACAGGAGCAAATCCTGGTCCCAGTACTTACCCGGCCTCTCGATGTGATCTCCGAGGACAAGTATAAGGCGAGCAGCGAGTATTCCGCATATTCGGCTGCAGATGTATAATAGAGTACATTTGCTCGTGAGTTTTGGTGGAAAATCATTCTGTTCATTCAGAGCTCTTGTAGCGCTATACCTAGGGTGAGTGACGGCTGCATCTTACAGAAAGCAGGATCGGTAACAGTGAACGCTGGTAGAGCGGCATTGGAAGGATTTAATGATGGCTCGGAGCATCTAGCCAGCCCTGGAAATTGAAACGCAGTTACGCGCATCACGGCGGGACTAGGTTGTGTAGAAGATTGACTGCGCTCGAGCTTCAAAGCCGTAAGACGGCTCCCGCATCCTGCCAAGGCACACCTCCTTGGTAGTGGGTATGCACGGAGTCTCAGGGTCCATTGTTCCGGTTCCGGTTCCGAATCTGTCTCCACATTGTGCCTAGCTGCGCTTCTTTCCCCCAATGGTTCAACACAGAGAAAGCCTCGTCCTGGATGTCAATCCTTTGAGACAGGACCTCAATCCTACAGTTGATTTCGTATCGAACCACTTACAACGGCGAGTCAGTCTACGTTCCAGCTGCAGTGCTGCGTACTCGAATTCAATCCTCGAATACCGGTATTTGCTTCACATGTTAGCAAGGCCCCACATTCTGGCAGGCCTTACAATATGGTGACCAGTCTGTCATCAAGCTGATCATAACTCAGATGCCATACAATCGGCTGATTGCCTTATAACGTATTATCATGTCTCATGATTGGATCTTGTCAGGCTTGACTTGTGGAGATGTATCCATTGCTGAACGAACTTGAATACGATGGTATACTCCTGAAGCTAAGCAGGGCACATCTCGTATGTGGAGATGCTTGCAGGTCATACTTTGGTTACGGCTTCTCGAATACGTCTGTTCCTTGACATATGCAACTCTGATCAGATGATTGAGCAAGAAGTTCCATGGCTTTGGCTATGGTCAAGGCAGCATTATCTAAATTTATCTTTTGTAGCATGCATTCACACTTGGTATTCGTACACTTTGACACTGCGGGCAATCGTCGATCCTACAGTTCCAGCCACCACTTCCTCTGGAGGGTCACAAGCGAAACTTTGTTAAGCCATGTCCCGTCTTCCCTCGACAAGCTGTTAATGCAGCCCGTATTGCGTCAGCCACCATGAAAGAGCTGTAAAAGTACAAAAAGTAAGATCGACACGAGGTGTTTATTTGGGACCCCTTCTCCTCATCAAGTATATCCGTCTTGAACAGCTCGGCACCATGGCCGATACATCTCCACCTGAAATGACCGCGGACTTCATTACTTACAGTAATGGGCCAACACTTCTAGCGCAGGTCGCCCCTATCTATGCAATAGCAGCATTGGTTGTTTTAGGAAGATGTTATGTACGAGCTGTTATTGTCAAGTCGTTTCGATGGGACGATTGGACAATGGTCATGTGTTTGGTGAGCATCGCGGTGCCGAACGCCTGTGAGAAGATTTACTTATACTTCAGTGTCAGGTATTCGCAACGGTTTGCTTTGCGGCGTACGTGACTGAGATCCACTTAGGCGTCGGCAAGCACATCGCTGTAATCACTTCCGACAAACCACGTTATGCACAGCTCCTTAAGTTTCGCCTAGTACACATGACTACCGTCAGTGTCGGAATCGTTCTGGTCAAGGTCTCAGTGTGTCTCTTCCTATTACGTCTGGTCACGAAGAGAGCACAAGTCTGGTTTCTTTGGGGTGTAATCTGCTTCCTGGTTCCTTTTGTATTGGCGAGTCTTGGAACATTGGTATGTCATATTACCTTCAATGACCAGCTGAACAATAATGAGCCGCTGATCTACTAAATCTAGATCTTCCAGTGCAATCCGGTCGCAGCTGCGTGGGATATCGACTTGCAACCACCACCTATTGGAACCGGTACTGCGAAATGCTTTAGTGGGGACACTTTCGATGCTATTGGATTGTTCAATGGAAGTAAGTCTCTAAATTCTACACACGACTACTTGCAGTTGTATATAAAACTAATGCCTTTGCAGTAGTGAACATCTCTACCGATTTCCTCCTCGCTCTCGCTCCCGTACCTTTGATCGTACGTTCAACCCTTCCAGACATTTATTCCCACATTAGCAATCAGTCTAACTGAAACAGTGGAAGCTCCAAATGCCGCTCCGTACGCGACTCTCCCTCGTCGCCGTTCTCTCTCTTGGTATATTTGCTGCTGTCGCTGGTATTGTTAGACAGCTTTCCTCCAGTCAGTTTGGCGTCCCAGAACCATACATTTACGACACATATTCTATCTGGAACTTCATCGAGCTCGACATGGGTATGATCGCAGCGTCACTGCCAGCTCTCAAACCACTGTTCAGCTGGTTCCGCGACACTGCCCGAGACTTGACTGGAAAGTCAAAATCGACAACTGCAGATGGTTATCAAAGGCAGGTACATCCAGTGGCTGACGATGGCTTTGCCTTGATAGAATATGGATCGAAAGGAGTGGTCAGTGTCACATCACGGCCGAGGGAGTGCATTGACAGATGGGTGTTCGATCGGACGAAGAGCAGTCAGGAAAGCATTTTATCGCATGATGAAAGGTCTGTGAAAGCAGGCATTATGGTTACAAAGAGCTTGCAGGTAGAGTGATCAAGCTATAATCGAATGACGGAATAAGGGCGACTTTTCATTTCATAATTACGGATCACAAGCGACGTTTTGGATAGCTAGTTGACCTATCAGAGACCAACTGAGTACAGCCTTCAAGCAAAGAACTGCATAATCGAGAGTCCTGCTTCAGCCTCGTAACGCTGGGTCAAACCCTTTCACTGCTCAAACCATAAGACGGCTCTGCTCTACTCTCCTACGGCTGTTTACTCACCCGTCACGTACCCTCTAAGCTCATAAACTTAGTTCACAAGAACAAGCATGTTATGTCCCGACAGATAAATTACGGAGGTCCGACACATGGTTTCAGGCGGTTCCGTACTCAAAGATCGTCGCATTTACTCTTGTCTCGTACAAGCCATCTCCTAGAAGGAAATAGTATGTATCCAGCTCGAAATCTGCTGATGGAACAGCGGATTGAGCGAGGCAAGAGACTATTCTACAAAAAGGCAGCTCTGGCTTCCAAAGGTTCGCATCTACGGCGCGATCACTTCACTTTCTAATGAAGATAGCGAAAATAGCGCATATGTGTTGTTCAGAGCGTGTACGACATGAGTACACAAACTTCACATGCGTACGATGATGGTGCGACTGATGTGGCTGGGCAGAGTAAGCGGAAGAAGACGCGACGCTCGTCAAGGAAAGTTTTTCACGATTATGTCATAGCCTCACTAAACTTATTCCACATTAGCGTCTATGCTCCGCGCGCGCAGTTCATCCCAACGTCCGTCCCCCACGGCATATTAAGCCTAATGCGCCAATCACAAATGTACGCCAAAAGGTGTGCGAGTACTATGCCTAGAATCTTGGGTTGGCCTACGGCCTCGCTTACAGTTTGCAGTGGTTTGGCATGCTGGAATGGTGTGCCGCTAGCTTTGATGCGGCATCCCGTGGATATCCAAGCCGTGTCTGTATAATGAAGATGTGAAATCGTGGAATTTCTCTTCTGGCTCCTTTCACCTAGTTATCTACAGCATTTCTGTGTGGCCCGAGTAATTGGCACGACTCCTACCATGGCGGCTCCTCAGCAACATGAGAAGACGACAGCCACACCTCCTAGTCCTCATCATGACACCGAATCAGGCGCGGACCCAACGTCAACCGACAAAGACATAGCAATCGGCCTCGTCGGCGAACATGCCCAAGATATCGATCCAGAAACCGAAGCAAAAGTGCTCCGAAAGATCGATTTGTTCCTTATCCCTGCCATGATCGTGGGTATGTCCATCATCACCAATCATCAGCCTTGTTCAAACCAGATATCATCCTAACATACGATGCACAGGATATGGTCTTGTCTACTATGACAAAGCGATTCTCGGTTCCGCCGCCCTCTTCGGCATGACGGCGGACCTTTCCTTGAGCGTTGTTACAAACGCCTCCACAAAGCCCCCGACAGTCTCTACCACACGTCTGTCCTGGGCAACATCCCTCTTCTACTTCGGAATGCTAGCAGGCCTCTACCCTCTGACTTTTGCCCTTCAACGCTTCAACTTGGGCCGAATCTTAGGCGCCGTCGTACTCCTCTGGTCACTAATCTGTATGTTGACAGCTGCGGTAACCACCCACGAGGGCTTGTTCGCACAGAGATTCTTTCTCGGCTTCGTAGAAAGCATTATACCCACCGGTTTCATGACCATCATATCGTCCTACTACACTCAACGCGAGCAATCCATTCGACAGTCTTGGTGGTTCAGCTCAACAGGCCTCTTCACCATCATCGGTGGCGCACTAAACTACGGGTTCGCGCAGATAACCTCCGGCTCCCTACGACGCTGGCAATACATCTACCTCCTCGCCGGCTGTCTGACATTCCTCTTTGGCATTTGGTGTTTCTTCATCCCGAATTCCTGTGCAGAAGCTTGGTTTCTCACCCCTCACGAACGCGTCGTTGCTGTTGAACGGCTCCGAAAGGGAGCCACAGGCGTCCGCTGCCAGAAAATCAAAACATATCAACTCCGCGAAGCAGCCACAGATGTCAAGTTCTATCTCATCTTTCTTCTGATGGCCTCTGCATATACAGTCAATGGCGCAGTCTCTGGTTTCGGACCGCTCATTGTGAACACGTTCGGTTGGTCGACCCTCGCATCTATACTCTGGCAGTTTCCGCTCGGACTCATCTGTCTCGTTACAATACTACTTTGTGGTTACTTGTCCTCGCGAATACCTAATATCCGTCTCATCCTCCTGATCTTGCACTGTCTCCCCGTCATCGCAGGATGCGCCATGATCTGGAAGAGCGAGTGGACGTACCATGCGGCCACACCCGTCGCTGGATACAGCATTATTGGCACGTTCGGCGCGGTTGTCAGCCAGACCATCGTTGTGGCCATGGCGAATGTGAGCGGAGCAACGAAGAAGAGTGCGATGGCTGGTACGGTGTTTGTTGCATATTGTGTGGGGAACATTGTAGGCCCGTTGTTGATCAGAAGCCAGGAGAAAGGGGAGCACTACCCTAGATTGTGGACAGGTTTGATCATCTGCTATTGTATCACAATCACCTCTGCTGTGGCGCTCTACGCTGTGCTTGCAAGAGAGAACAAGAAGCGAGACGCTCTGGCCGTGGATGAAGAAGAGAGGGACAAACTTGCTTTTATGGACTTGACGGACAAGGAGAACATGTATTTCAGGTACGTTCTGTGAGGTGTTCCTGCTTCAATGTTGGATAAATAGTATCCTTGTCGGAGCAATTCAATTCGGCGTCAACTGTATGAACATGAGAATGTATGTATATTGATAGGAGTTCGTCCATCTTACTACTACAAACTAGTTCAGGCGATCCAGAAGCCTGCTCAATTTGGGACTTCGCTCAAGCGTACGTCACTCGCATACGTCAACGCAAACCTCCACCCATCTATAAGAAACGCCAGCAACAACTTGTTCGTTTGCTCTCGTTCGTAAACTCCCCAGCAGTATAAACAAGAAAAAAGTAACAATGTTCGCTTCCGGAACGCCGTTTGGCTCGGACCCCTCAAAAGGTCGAGCAACTCCAAAGTGTGTGCTTACTTCTTTGCCCCTCGCCGAATGGGGTCGTCACATTTCTCGAAACCCAATCCTGACAAGAAAGAAAAAAAGCTGAACGATAGGGTATAGTTGAAAGAGATACCGTATGAGGCTAGGAAAAACAATACAAAGGAGAATAATGACTTCGATTCAATCATCTCGGTCCTCTCGGTCGTGGTCGGACGCCGGCTTCAGTCGCACTGCGTACTCGAATAGTTGGTCGGCTGATCCCTGGTGTATCAGCCATAGCAGCGTCGTAGCTAGGTACTTCGGGACTAGCTGAGCCAGACCGTTGCAGAAGCGGTGCTCGCTCGTCCCAGTTGTATCCGTCTTGGTGATCGATTGTGTTTCGCAGACTAGGCGAGCCAACGGGGCTGCTATATTCGGGGGGAAGTTCGCCAGGTTGTAAGAGCCCAAGACCTTGACCTTGGTTTACCGGAATAGTTGTAGTATGATCATCGCTGGGTCCTTCGCCGGCAGTATCTTCGTTTGAATCCACAAGACTGAGTGCCGCTAATGATATGTCTGTGGGACTGCGCTGTGGCCCTGGACTTGTCGGGACCTGTCTTCCGAGACGCATTTGCTGGCTGCTAGACCGTCCGTGTCCGTAACCCGCTTGGATGTAACTTCCGGCCATGCCTTCTCTTATACCCTCGCGACCAGAATCCAGAAGGATCGATCCTTGTTCGCTGCCGTATGGTGGAGGAGGAGCCAGACTACCGGTTTGGGGGGCTAGACCCCACTTCTTGACGTTGGCCTCAATGAAGACAAAGCCCATTTGGCCAAAGTTGACGTGCACTTGGCAAGGACCGTTTGCGCCTACGGTGGGGAAGAAGTTCTGAGTTTTGAGACCGTGAGCGACGTCGTCGAGTTTCTTGCCGTTTCGTGTGAAGAAGAGGGTTCCAGTTCGGGGTCGGTAGCCAACTCCAATGACATCTCCTTGGACGTAAGAAGGGCCATAGGCGGACGGGTGGAAGGGCTGGTTGTATCGGCGGTTTCCGTTGGACATGTATGATATCGAGGCTTTGTGGTACCCTAGTATATGTTAGCAGTTGGAAAAAGTGTTCATGATGGTAATATACATACCTGGTAATCTGAATAACGGGTAGGGTTTTGTTGTGACGCCTATCGCAATACTGGTGTTTTCGGGCTTCTCGTAAACCTTGGCCTCCCAATAGTAGACTTCATTTTGTTTCGGTATCGGAAGGTTACTCTGTACACTGCACTCAGAATCGAAAAACTCAATTTCGGTTCGGCCTTCGACAAAGCAGTTGGCGATCTCAAGTTCGGGCTCAAACTCCCAGGCAGACACGCCTTTCTCTTGTATGGCCAGAAATTGCGAGAGAGAAATGTCGGTCTGGACGGATTCGGGTGGGTTTGCTTGCACAAAAGCTGCGGGGATTAGCCAATGCTCCTTTCAACTGCGAATACTCTGGATGACATACCCTTCGCTCTCATGTACTCTGTTCTCTGCAGATCGTCCATATCCTCTAGCGCCTCGGCCTCCTCCTTGGCAAATTGCTGTTCGTCGTCATACTCACCAGGCCGCGTTATCCGGTCGAGGAAGATGCGTCCCTGGTTGGTGTACCGGAAGTAGTAAACAATGGCGGCGATGATAAGACATACTCCCGCAGCGGCCAGCACGGAGAATATGCCTATCATGATGCCCTTGGCCGTCGAGCCGAGGTTGTTGTTGTATCTCGATAATCGCACGTCATCGAGGTGTGATGCCTGGTGGAACCCGGTGAAGACGGTAGGGTGCGCGGCGGGCGCATTGTGGCTGGAGTAGTAGGACCTCGAGAGCGTCGTTGGCGGCGAGCCCGGTTGCAGCGGTTCTTGGGGCAGCATTGTGAAGTGCTGTGTGAAGGCAGCCGGCGCTGGGAGGCAGTGGGACGTTTGCGACTTGGCGGATGAGGTTGCGATGGGCGCGGCTGCGCTCGTGCCGGGATGAAGTCGCCCGGTGGAGTCGTTAGGTAGGCCAGTGGGGGCCGGTTACCACTCGATGAAGTGTCGCGGCCGAGGGCAGTGTTAGCGACACAGCAGCGACGCGATGGGACGTGGTGAAAGTGCGAGTGGCCGTAGGCAACAGCGCGATGTCGCTGGAGAGGGTGAAGGAAAGGCGTCGAAGTGTGTGTGTGATGATGTATTGGCGTGAGGGTGAGATCGGCGTGAGACGTCAAGTGCCTGACGCAGCTTGGCTTGGGATCGCGCGGCTGCTTTGCCACCTCCGCCTGCACACGACCCTCTGGGATGCCCGTCCTGGATTCTGCCGATCTATCCGTTACAGCTTGGCTACGAAACACGACACTTTCCAAAATCAACCTGTTCCCAAGTCTCCGCCGCGTCTCCTTAGTATCAGGGACTGCGCTGTTGCTAGCAGTAGCCGTCTCGAGCTGGCACCCTCAACCATCGACACCCTCGCGCGACAGTCCAGACCGCGACACCAACAGGCACTTGCATGGCCACGACAGCACGCGTATGCACTTTACTTCTAGAGCCCGCTGCAGCTACAGCTCGTCTTTTACGACAACACAGCAGCATACTCCACACCGAGCCCACGGTATTTCAAATTCGACTTGCTCGTCACAAGCAAATATATCGCTAGTCCAGACATGCTACAAGAGGCATGGCCCAAATTTAGCCCTTAACCGCGATTGCTTTTGTTCCAGGGCGGGGAAACCTGGCTTCGCTCCCTGAGGCATTGCCCACTCGTTACCGCATGTCGTACAGTCCTGAAACACCAACATCGCAGAGCCGCCCTCAGAGGCGCTTCATCAGATACTGTCTGTGCCCAACAAGAGTAAGTCCTTAGAACATGCAGCTTCGTCTGCTACCCCACCAAAGCATTGAAACTTCTTTCAACCTCAGCGCGATGCAATGGGGGTTGGGAACTCGCTGCTCATCCCGTCTCGGCGCGGGTCTGGACTACTAAGTGACCATCATGACGTCGACACCCGATATCCATGTAGAAATTGATTGCGCCCAATAGTCAATTATCTTAAGTCTTGAGATAACACATTGAGCCCATAGACAGACGCTAGCACTGTCATATTCAGCAGTGGCTCATTGTCTAGACAAAGTGCGCTCTCTCTAGCAGCATATGCCTTTACTGCCATGTGTTGCGCAGTACCATAGCTCCTTTCTCATGCATCTCAATACCTTTTCGGTATCACTATAGCCTCCACTCAACCGAATTGTCGCACTTTGATCTGCAGCATGACCAGTAACACTCCGTTAAGATTCTAGGAAAGGGAGGTAGTCAGCTGTACTTGCGTACTAATGTCTATGGGATGCCAAGCGATCTCCAGCTTCAGCCTCAGCCTTGAGCGCTTACTTGGTCTTTCAAGCCCACACATTTTGCTACCTGCTATTCTTTGTCGTCTCATTTTGGCTTCTTCGGTTTTGCTGTGTCAATCTGTTTTCCTAATCTGGAGTCTTCACTATGCGCCTTCTGCGACGCAATGACGATGACGAGTTCAGCTTCGAAGAGTTCTTCGGCGGGCATTTGCCGCCCTATGCCATCTTGTCTCACTTTTGGGGAAATGAGGAAGTGGGGTTTCAAGAAATAAGGAACGGCATAGGGAAAGACAAGAAAGGCTACAAAAAACTTAGATTCTGCGGGGAACAGGCTGCCAGAGATGGCCTCCAATACTTCTGGGTAGACACCTGCTGTATCGACAAGTCGAGCAGCGCAGAGCTCACCGAATCCATCAACTCCATGTTTGCTTGGTATCACAAGGCTACCCGTTGCTATGTGTATCTTTCCGACGTTTCGACCGTTGCTGGATTACGTCAAAGCAGATGGTTCACACGAAGATGGACGCTTCAAGAACTCATCGCTCCTGCTTCGGTGAAGTTTTTCTCCACAGAGGGAAAATTCATTGGCGATAAAACTTCGTTGTTACAGGATATCCACGAGATTACCGGTATTCCCGCTGCAGCTTTACAAGGAACACCTTTGTCTCGGTTCAGTGAGGCTGAGCGAATGTCATGGGTAAAGAATCGCATGACAACGCGCGCAGAGGATGCAGCATATTCTTTAATGGGCATGTTTGGTGTAAACATGTCGGTGTTATATGGGGAGGGGAAAGAGAACGCTTTTCGTCGGCTTCTAAGGAAGATACAAAAATCATCCCGGTCTACTGTCCTGATGGGCGATGGCCAACCTGTAAGAACTGTTGAGACGTATGATGTTCTTTCTCAGCACATACGTGACACCTTCACTGATGCCAGAGGGTCAACAACACCGGACTCGGATTCCGATGACGGAAGCGAGATCGACAGCATCTTTTCAGACGGCGAATCATCCATCTCTTCCGCATCAACTGCCAGCCGGAATCCGGTCCAAACAATTGGAATTCGTGAAGTTTCTAGAGCGCTGCTGGGCGATAAAGAGCTGGAAGCCATATATACTCTCGCTGTCTCTAGTGTAGAGCCAAAGAAGGCGCGCTCGCATATTCGGGGCTTTCTCCGGGATTATGGCCGGAACCTTCTCAAGGAAACTTCAGATAGTGATCTTGCGATCCAAGCTGCCAAGTTCGTACGTGAATTGGCCGGTCGCATAACCGATGAGATCATCTGGAGCATAACTGGATCTTCCGAAATCCCACACCAACCGAAAAGCAGGGTCGAAAAGCAGGGACTGGAGACATGGCTCTCAACTATCCACGGTAGCAGCATCGTTGAAGAACAGCATCTACCTGCCTCGAGAGCAGATGACGATGAGGAGGAGGAAGACGGATCTGATGAAGAGCTCGACGAGGACCTGCTATTTCCTAATATTGATAAAGTGAAGGGGTTCCTTATCAATTCCGATGCCTTCCGAGGACTTGTACTGGCCATGCAGACTTGGTTGAAGATCGATGGTGTTGATCGAAAAAATGTAGTCCAATCGATGACGGACACACCAAAACCAACCGATAGCATGGTGGTGGCTGAAGACATGCACAGAGAGACGATAGTTTCTATCGAGGACCAAGAGCAAGCTGACTCAACAAATGAAGCGCCTCCTACGGTGATCGAGGTCTACCAGCAGCAGGATGCGGCACAAGAACAGATTCGAAGAACTCGATCTCGCCAACGTGGCGGCAGTTTAAGGGACTTGGTTTCGAGTCTCTTGAACTTCTGGGGTATATCCTTTTACGTTTACGATATTGTGGAACTATTCGTTCCTCACGTTCCTCGGGGTTATAGGAGACTACGTTGGCGTTGTGTAAGCTCTCGTACTCTTCCTTCTTAACTTATCGCCCTTGCTGATCATCCAAGTCCTGCAACACTATCCTCTGGGGTGATTTTCCTGTCGAGGACACCGAGGCCTTTGGTCAACTTAAACAGCAGTTGTCCTGTATGCGAGACCCTCTCGTTCGACATGTACCTACGAGTGGTATATCGACAACGCAGGCGACCGGAGTTTCCGGCTCTGGAGCTACTGGATCCGCGCCGTCGACACAAACATCTTCAGCTGGTCCACCTTCAGGCTTCGCTAATACACCACATGCTGGCAACGCCCAGAATATCGTGAGTTCTACGGCTTCCGGATCAGACTATGTAGTGGAGATCACCTCACCGTTCAAGTATTTCGAAGTTTGCGTGAGTACGGGAAACCATGCTATCGATCACCATGAGGTCGATATTTCACGCATCAATTCGGACAACGAGCTATTTGAGATGATATGGGACAAGTACAATATCAGTCGCGGTATTGGCCTGCGGCGACTTTTCCTGCGGCCTAGCGACGTGAACTTTGTTATGGTAAGAACTCACACATTTCCCTGATATAGGACATTCATACTGAAGCTCTCGTAGTTCTCCGTCAGTCAGCGCAACCAGTACGGAGCTGGTATCCACAAGAAGCCCGATGAGTTCCCACCACAAGAGGAACTGGACGAAAAGCGCTACCACTACCTTTGCCCTCGAATCAGGATGCCGGTCAACGTCTTTCTTCACTATCTGCATCGAGCGAGATGGAACATATGGGGCGAGCATATGGAAAATATCTGGCTCCAACGTATACCCAAGAAGCTCGATAGGGATTTGATCGCTGAGGCCCAGCAGGCGAAGGGTAATGCGCCTGCGAACGAAGACCTTGCGTTCGGATGGGGAGTACACATCATTGAAGGTCCAAATCACGCTGTACTTGGTCTTCTACTAGCTATCGGAGTAGCTGTCGCTTTTATTGTCTCCGGAATGATCGTGGGGTTTGCGAAAACACAAGAGCAAGGCTTTGGAGTCGGGAATTTTCTTCTTGCAATCCTTGCTAGTGCTATGACTGCTGTATATTTTCAGCTTCAGGATTGAAGAACGACTTGTACTGTGCGATCTGTTTGTGTTGCGAGGAGCCTATTGTCTTGCATTGGCAAAAGGATCGGTATTGCACTAACCAGAGGCTGCTCGTACCCTCAGTTTCTCTACAAGTATCATCCTTTTCTTGCGAGAGGGATTTAATGGGAATGCTTCCATCGACTGCAGAATGTATCCCCTGACCTTTCATTAGTATTACAGGATGCTGATGGAAAGTGAACAATGGTACACAAGGTAGTAAGTGTAACCCGATATCGACATTTCCATAGTACCATGCAGTCTAAGATGGCGGGTATCAGGCCATACTTGTGCTTAGTAGAGCCCGGAAAGATTTGGACTGCGAGAAGCGTCGGAAGCAGGTTCAACCGTGGAACCATCACAGCATGAGAGCCTCATGTGTTAATGTCATGTTACACGCGGATTACGCAAGCAGCCCGATGAACGACCAATCCTCTTTACTGTCAACACCGTGTCTCTTTGATAGTGGGTCGAGATGCATCACAACATAACGTCCGTTATCTTCGCCATCTGGCTATGACAAGTCACTCGCTATTCGACACTGTTTCAGGAGATATACCGCGATTGAAGCCCCTTGGCAAGTAGGAGTGCATCCTGCAGATGTCCCATGTGTTGCGTGATTGATCGAACTAGCTGGGCGCTGATACTCTCGACAACCCTCGTTCTTCGTGTTAGGACTGCCTCCACAAGGTCTTTCTCGATATAGCTCTTCACCGGGGTGGGTTTCCATACATGGAAATGGTGGAGGAGAAGTGTGTGAGACAAACAGGAAAGAGCAGCTGCGATACACGTGTTTACTCGAAACATCTCACATGACTTATAAAGGAGTTGCCCAGACGTCATTTCTCGAATGAAGCGATACCGGACTGCGTCATCTCAAGTAGGAGCACGATGCAGGTGCTGCAGCACGACGTGTGCGAGAAGCACCGAGTTGTGCAACAGGCGTCTGATGACAGGTGCTATCTAGAACTCCCAGGCTGTCTCGACCATATATGCACCGTGTGATCGACGAGTCGCCATGATGATGGCGAATATGTTTGCTCGTGGGGGAAGAGCTGGAACATGCGATCTATTGCACAAGTCTTGCAGTCACCTTGTCGCCCTTTTCTAGCGAGCCAACCGGGCTGGGGACGTCGCAAACAGGCAGGTCGCCCCAGCAGACGCGCACTCGCAAATACCTGGACTTTGCCGACTCTATACCGCCCTCGTCTTCGCCTTAGCAAAGGCTGACTGTGCTTCTATCCTCGACTCAGTCGCACGGCAGCAACTTCTTCCTAGCTGCTCACCGCCCGCCGCGCATAATTGGGTCGCAAGCAGAACCCACTGCAACGACCCGGCCCCGCGTCAATTACGAGCAAACTGCACCACACGCAAAATATTGCAGCGCAAGAATTTATTCCTAGGACGGATCAAAAACATGTTCGTCGCCTTGTAACCCACCTTGTTATCCGCTTCGCACGCGAAAGGCTGGTGAGCGCTGCCCCTCATTGTTAATTCGTTCATGGCTTTCCCCAGCAGAGCTAACCATGAAGCGTACCAGCAGAACGAGCTTAAGTCGCCAGGGTCTACTCTTTTTTCTGCCTGCCTTACCTCCGCAGCGCAGCCCTGATTTTCCCTTCATACCCATTTCTAGGGTTGCTAGTCAACTCCCCTTTACACCTTCCCCGCACTGCGAAGCAAACCACACTCCAATATGGCGTGGCAACCCCAAGAAGAGCCCCTGCGGCAGCTGGCGCAGTGTCTGAGGGACTCACTCAGTGGCCATGATCCGAATGCGCGAAAGAATGCCGGCGAGGTTAGTTTGCTCTTGCTACACACCATATCGCCATATTGTGCTGACCGCGACGACTGCATAGATGCTCAAATCCGCCCAAACTTCACCCGATATCGACAAGTACCTTGCATACATCTTCTCCAGCAGCCAACCCCCACCGGTCGTGAACATGGACGCCGCCCAGTACTTCCAGACGCGAGCTGCGGCTGCCGTTATGCTCAAGAACGACGTAAAGACCACGTACAAATCGATGCCCGACTCGACCAAGGACTACATACGATCCGTGATACTTATGGGACTGTCGGATTCCACCTCACAAATACGGGGCTATGCCGGAAATGTAATAACGGAGATTGTGCGACAGGGCACCATCATGGGATGGCCTCAGATTCTGTCAGAGCTGGTCGGTATGGTCAGCAACGCGGACGGCAATTCCTCGACACAGGCACAAGAAGGCGCCATGGGCGCTCTGCTGAAGATCTGCGAGGATAACAGGAAGGCGTTGGATCGCGAATACCAGGGACAAAAGCCCCTCAACTTCATATTCCCGAAGCTACTCGAGCTCACGACAAGTCCCCAGCCTCGGGTGCGCGCCGATGCATTGGCCGCTATCAACGTATTCGTCCCAGAGAAGCCTCAGGCTGTTGTCGCGAACATCGACACGCTACTAAATCAACTCTTCAAATTGGCCGCCGACCCCAGTGAAGACGTGCGGAAACACGTCTGCCGCACCTTTGTCCACATCGCCGACATCGCCCCTCAGATGATCATACCACATATGAGCGGTTTGGTCGATTTCATGGTGGCACAGCAGCGCACGGAGAACAACGCCGATCTGGCTCTGGACGCAGCAGAATTCTGGCTGTGCGCTAGCGAAGACGAGAACATGCGGGACCACCTTGGTCCATATCTGGCTAAGATAATACCTGTTCTGCTATCGAGCATGGTATACAGCGAGGACGAGATTCTGCGTTTGGAGGGCGAAGAAGAAGATTATGAAGTCGATGACAGGGAACAGGACATCAAACCCACTTTCGCATCAAACAAGGCCGCAAGACTTACCACTAACGCGAACGGCGAGACAGTCCCAGCCTCCAATGGAACACCCGGAGCCTCAGCAGATGACGACGATCTGAGTGAGGGCGAGATCGACGATTTCGACGACGATGATGAATTTGGTGATCCCGAGGAGCAGTGGAATTTGCGAAAGTGCTCCGCTGCAGCCCTCGATGTCCTCGCATCAGTCTTCCACGAAGCTGTGTTCCAGGCGACTCTTCCATACTTGACAGATAACCTCAATCATGCAGAGTGGCCCAACCGGGAGTCTGCGGTCCTGGCTCTTGGCGCAATCGCGGATGGCTGCATGTCGGTCGTTGAGCCGCACCTTCCTATGCTCACTCCTTTCCTCATAACTCTACTGAATGACCCAAAGCCTGTCGTTCGCCAAATCACCTGTTGGACACTTGGACGTTACTCGGGATGGGCGGCACATCTCGACGCTGCTGGCAAGAAACAATTCTTCGAGCCAGTCATGGAAGGTATCTTGATGAAGATGCTCGACAGAAACAAACGCGTTCAGGAAGCTGCGGCATCGGCCTTTGCAAATCTCGAAGAGAAGGCCAACACTGAGCTCGAAGATTACTGTGGCGTCATCGTTCAGCAATTCGTGCAGTGCTTTTCCATGTACAAGGACCGGAACATGTTCATCCTCTACGACTGTGTTCAGACGCTCGCTGAGCACGTGGGACCTAAGCTATCAGAAGACAAACTCGTCCAAACACTCATGCCTGCACTTCTCCAGCGATGGAACAAGGTGTCCGACCAGTCAAGAGAAATGTTTCCATTGCTGGAATGTCTCTCATATGTGGCCACAGCTCTCGGACACACATTTGCGCCATATGCAGCTGGAATATTTGCTAGATGCATGAAGATTATTCACCGCAATCTCGAAGAAGGCGTCATGGCAGCTGAGATTAACGGTTTCGAGCCTCCAGACAAAGACTTCTTGGTGACAAGCTTGGACTTGCTCAGCGCAATCATCCAAGCTCTGAGCTCCCAAGATAGCGCCACACTGGTTTCACAAGCATCTAACTTCTTCGAGCTACTAGTCATCTGCATGAGGGATCAGAACAATGACGTGCGGCAATCTGCCTACGCGCTCCTCGGAGACTGCGCCATTTACGTCTTTCAACAACTCAAGCCTCATCTACAACCCATCATCAAGACTCTTATTACACAGCTGGAAGTTTCCCAGATAGATTCCTCTGGCCTGGACACTGGATACTCAGTCATTAACAATGCCTGCTGGTCCGTTGGCGAGATTGCCATGTGCGAGGGAGAAGGCATGCAACCATACGTCGGGGAACTGCTACAAAAGCTGGGTAGCATCCTATTTGACGAGCGGGTTCCAGAGTCTCTGAACGAGAACGCAGCCATCGCCTTGGGTCGCCTAGGTCTTGGATGTGCGCCCTTACTCGCTCCACATCTTGCTCAGATCGCTCCTCCTTTCCTCCGTGCTATCAGGAAAGTACAATGGACGGACGAGAAATGCCATGCCCTCACTGGCTTCATGTTAATTGTGTTGGCCAACCCTGGCGCTATGGAGCAATCACTTCTTGAGTTCTTCAACGACATGTCGATGGCCGATCGAAATGTTGTAAGGGGTCCTACTGCCGGAGTACAGGTCTATGAGACTTTCCAAAAGGTAAGATTATACCCACGCTTGATATCATCACACGCATTCAGCTAACGCTTCGAAAAAAAGGTCATTCAAACATACAAGGGCATGATCGGCGATTTCGACGCCTTCCTCGGAGGTCTCCCTACCGAACAACAAGCGCGCTTCCGCGAATTGTACTCCGTTTGAAGGAATGAAAAAGTATCAAACTCCAATCATGATTACGTGTGTGGCTACTGCGGGCGTTGAATAAGGACATGTCTGGTTAGAGGAAGAGATGGAAATACCAACAGGCGCGTTCACATTCCCATCACTTAACGGGGATGCGCGTGACCCTGATATGAGGAGGATATGGAATAGTGCTAGCATTTTCGGCAATAGGGGTGGCATTTATATATAGAACATGTGTTTTTCTCCAGCGAGCGCAGCTTTGAATTTCACCACGAGTAAGAGACGATGATACGTATGAACATTGCAAAGGCGTTTTTTATCAATCAATCCATAGTATAGTAGGTAGCGTAGCTTAGTTTAGTTTCAGTTTCCATTCCTCCTACACTCCTCGTCCATGGAGCAGGTATGATGAATAGCATTCCAGCGTTTGTTCTCGCGTCAAGTACTCGTGCTATGTTTCTGATTGCCTAGTATTGGCTCAACAAGAGTCTAAGCAAGCCTGATACCACGAAGATTAAGATTGAGGCAGCGGGATATGCCACCCACGCGCCAACAAATATCCCTCAGTTACCATTTCCTGTACACCTCACGACCACATCCCTGACGATGATGAGTATTACCAATCATAATCTTAGGCCTGGTTCTCCCTTCAATATTACTTCAATTCAGTCATCCACCTCATCATGAAAATGCCCTCGTGAACTTTCTTCAATTCACAGCGGTAATAATCGGAATTAAACCTACCAATGTTGGTGAGGTTCTATTGAACACATACTTGACGCCTTTGGCACCTCATTCTATGTGCGTCTGAATGATTGCCTCTCGATCTTCAATTATACCAACCTTCATGTATGCGCGTTTTGTACGAAGTGTCGATTCAGTATTGTTCCTGGATATTGGAACAGCACAGATATGCATCCTCGTGCCATGTACATCGATTGGAGGAACAGAGTCAGATAAGGTGTTCACTCTGTTAAATAGGCTTTATCCTTCTTGCTTGTGAGTCGGGTTCTCTGTTCTTGAAAATCCTCACGTTCTCGAGGTCTCGTTTCGAGAGGTTCTTCTTCAAGGCTCAGGGATATCATAATATATGAGCTGAGGTATTGCATAAGCATCTGCGCTCATCTGAGTATATACAGCGAGCTAGCAGGATTAAGCGTAGTATCGCAACAAGATGCATCCATATCGTATCGCTCATGCTCGTTCTGATCGAAGAGATATTGAGTAAAAGGACGGAATCATCTTGTCGTTACTGTCTCTCACTCGGTCAGTGGACTGACCGATGGTTGAGACCAGGCCTCGAGAATTCCGAAGAACACTGTTACAATGCGTTGATGAATACATGCTCTTCAGTATCAATATAAGGATATGGAAGAAGCAGGTTTGGTCTCCAGGCTGACGAATGCAAAAAGCCAACAAGGTACTTTCCTTCGGAAACTTGGGGCGAGCCACATCCCTCGAGGAAATCCTGCTTCTGGCAGTGGTCATGACATAACCGTCCCAACCCATCCCTACCCAGTACATCCCGTATCCGCTCCAAGCGCTCGGTACTGCCGATGAAACCAATGTCACCAACGAACGGGATACCGGCAGCATGTAACGTTGCCGTGACCTGAAACAAAGCCGAACATTCAGCTCCGACCGAGGTGATGAGCTCATGGAGAATTGACAAATTTTCCCATGTTTTACGACTCAGTATACCCAGCGTCGATCGTGTGGGGATCAATCTATTTATCGAAGGAGGTCCGTCCGAAGTCGATTATTTGCCAGATTCGCAATATTACGGCCGCTCCGAACGTTTCATGTTACGGGTCGAATTGCACATAATGTTGGCACGATGCGATGAAACATAAGTGTTGTCATGATACGTCAGTGGCTATACATGTAGTATTGACTTGCAAATGCTTTAAACTTATTAAGGTGATTGATAATTGTATAGTTTAGGTAGCCTGCATAGTCGCTTTTGTGCGACAATATATTGGCAATATGAAGGATTAAGGTTGGGATATACGATCATCACTATGGTGTATGTACTGTAGATGATGTTTTGTGATGTGCGTTCGGCCAGGAGTGGAGAAAGACCCCAATGGTCGGAGCAATTCACACAGTGCACGTAACGGCCCGTGATGAGCGGAGAGTATGTGTATTTCCTTGTGTCGCCCTGCCACACTTGCCGATAGAGTCGCTTCCGCGCCAATGATAGGGCAGGGTGCGACGCTTTTTATAGCTCTTTGCCGACGGGTGGAGAAGAATGCTTTGCAAGGTGGTGCGAACAGAAAGTGTGGCTTGCAGATAGCGGGAGTAGGTGTATTGCGCGCTGAAAATCGCATTGTTAAACATGCATTTCGGCTGATGTGTATTGCTATCGTGCGACTGACTGTATGGTGTCGCAAGATGAAGCCTCTTCAGACTTCATAAAAATATGCATAGAGAACATTTGTATGTTCTGTTGTGGTCAATGGATTTGTTAGCGCGAAGCTGTCTTAGTGTACGCTCAAAAGACCGATAGTCGTCGGAAAAGACCGAAAGCACGATGAAGAGATGCGAGTGGAGAGGTGTCTTGTTAACCCTAGTCGCAGAACCCCAGAGAAAACATGGCTGCATGGTAGCCCTCGATGCGTGTCGGCTGCAAAGTTCCCAGGGTAAAAAGACCTTAATCCTAAGAATAGCTCCTCTCGATCTATGCCAACCAAACACCAGCTCGACGTAGTCATGTGGCTTTACTCAGACTAGCCTGCGAATACACATTTTGTGGCATGAACCGGCTTTGGAACAGTCCGCCATGTCATTTAGCAAAGTTTTAGCCTCGGTGGTCGCAGACGAGTTGGTGATTGGTGCAGCAGTGTTACCACTGGTTCCTTTCTTAGAACTCGTATCTCGTGGCAGCTACTTTCTGCTCCACCACGGCAACGAACGTGGGCAGAACGTCATAGTTCCCAGTCCTGTACTGAGCATGTCGGTGACGAAGTTTGAGAGACATTGTTACAGCAGCTGCGATTGATGCCACGCAGCATGCCGTGATCAGGCGTCCACAAGCAAGGTCACGTAATTACTGCACAGGCTGGTGGTTCCCGCAAACAAGCATTCTCCGCTGCATCAGATATTGCCAGACGACGCGGGGGAGATTTGGCTTTACCCAGTATTGCGATGGTGTTGTGCGTAGGCGAGGACGTCGACTCGTGGGAACGGAGGCCATGCGATGCTTAATCATCGCCTGGCGGCTCTTCCGTCGATAGCGGAAATACAAGAATAGAGCGAGGTCCGCCACTACTCGGCGCAACTCAATGCGAAAGTAGCGGTATGATGGATGGGCCAGCGTAGTATCGATAGAAAGTGAAGCCAACGCGGGCACCATGGTCAGCGCGATGGAAAGTGTAGACCCTTTTTGTCTGCGGTCTGGTGACGAGTGACGCACGGAGGGCTATTTTTGACCTCGAGATATTGAAGGCCCCGGCTTCCGCAGTGTTTAGCGATCTCTGGTATCGTTGCATCAGCAACTTCAGTATGATTCGCGCATGGCGACCTCATCAATGCGAATTGCGCAGCGGAACCCTCTGCTTGCACTCGCACTCGCATGCAATTCGACGGCCATGGGTGGCTCGTTATAGTGGGCGCTCACTCTGACATCTGGAGCTGTCTGCGAAAAAATTTAGCAGCGCGCGCCCCGAAGCTGACCCGGCGACCATGGCATGGTGCCTTCCTTCACCCACTATTATTCATGCGGCTTCGAACTACCCGTTACAGCATGGCCAACGAGCTATCCATGTGCTACTGGTCGATCGTTCTCCACGCACGGCCCGCGAAGGTGTTGGCGTTTCCTCGGTCGTCGGACCTGAATGGCCGTTTTTCACGCCTCTTGCGCCCTGAGCCCGAGCTCCAGCTGGAGCAGCTCATGCGCCTGCACGCTCAAACGTCTCCGTCTCAAGCGGATTGACAGGGGCTTTGACCAGAAGGCCACCCTCTTCTGCATTTGATCCATGGCCGTCGGCGAACTAGCACCTTCACACAGCACCCTAGGCCTGGGGTCAATCCTCGCCAGGCAGGGGGGGCGTCTTCATTCATCCAAACACGCCTGACCTTCTTTCACAGCACAGGATCGATGCATGCCAGAAAGCGCCCTTGAAAGGCGAGGTTTCATGGCTCGCTGGAAGCTTAATCCCCACAGGAGTTACACCGGGGCTATGTCATACGAGCATGAGCCAGCCGGTGCCATCTGGCAATCAGTCACTCCATCGACTGTAGCTCCCGCAAGCTTCTCTGACCTCCCTGCTAGCCTCTCCCGTCTCGCGGGCTGCCACCCAAGTCCCTCTTCCGCCGCTCGTGGCGTCACTGCTATTTGTGTGGACGCTACTTTGGGCTAACCCTACTTGGCCCCGTTTCTTGACGTTTGTCGTCTTTGGGACCGAGCACAAGTCACCCTGCGCTTTTGCTCGCATACCACCCAAGTCCCTTCTTCAGCCTGGCGAGCCTCTAGTCTCGTAGCCTTGTCCTCATCCTGCATGGTCACTGTGCAGGGGGCATGTTGCAGACGAGCTTGACCACTTCCGCTGTCACCTCGTCCTGTCGTACCCTCGTAGCGTGTCCGCCGGAGGTATTGCTGGCCTTGCGTCAATATCTCTCCAGCCCTAGAGCTCTCTAAGCACTTCCCATCTGCACTCTGCACTATATATCACCATAACGCCCATCGCCAGCCTCCAAATCAACACCCTGTCCAATTTAGTCACCGGTTTCGACCCCATTACCCTCGCTTTATCAACCGCCCGCCAGATCTACCGCCTGCATATACACAGCCCCTCGCCTATCCTACCTTCCTGTCCGTCTAGCATAGCACACAACGAGAGAACGCTGTCTACGAATCCACCTGTACCCTGACGATTGCGACGACGACCACGCCGTACGGTTCACTTCCCACTTTCGCTAAATTACTTCACCTATCCTCTTGAAAAATGGCTGGACCCGGTGGAGGCCCTTCAAGGCGCAGCCATACCAAGTCCCGAAAGGGTTGCAAAACGTGCAAAAGGCGGCATATTCGCTGTGATGAAACATTCCCGCAATGGTAAGCACCAACAAGTCTTCACTTGCACTCCACATGCTAACTTTGTATCAGCCGCAACTGCACCAAGCACCAGGTTCGCTGCGACTACATGGACAGTCCAACTGCCATGATGCCAGAATCTCCCCAGTCTCCCCAGCAGCCCAATCTGCTCTGGACGCCTGAGATCGAGGCCACCATCGAACTCTGGAGACAGACGGGAGAGTTTCCTTTCCCCGAGCTTCGAGTGTACCCACAACCGCAATGGCGCGCCTTAACGACGGTTGATCTCCGTCTGGTACATCATCTTTCTTCTATCTCGAATGAAATGTTCAGGAATAGGACATCGAAATCTACTCTTTGGACCGACATGATGCCCAAGTACGCACCAAACACCCTAAGCGACAATGTCCAGAAGAACCACTAACATGTGTAGATTCTTGAGCATAGCCGCGACCCATCCATTCGTTATGCACAGCATCCTCGCATTCTCTGCCTCGCATTTGGCGTGGATCTCTCAGTCTACCGAAACCCGAAACCTTGCATTCCATCACGCAAGCCTTGCTCTCAAGGGATTGCACGACGGCATCACCAACTTTACTAAGCACAATTCGGACGCAGTGCTTGCGGCGTCTCTCCTGCTTGCCTGGCAGGCGACAGACTGGTAAGGAAGAGCTGCGCAAATTGGAACAACCAAAGCTAACGTAGTCATATAGGCGAGGCTGGGCTTCTCTGGTCACAGGCACGAAGACCGTCATCCAATCTATGCAGCCCTGGAGGCATGAGTCTCTATTCGCTGACTACATTGCCGAGCACACTCCTATGCCAAACCGACATTTCATGAACCCCATCAGTACTCCAATATCTCCCGAAGCACGAAGAGAGCACATGAACGCCCTGGTCGATATTCACGCCTCCTTGCAACGATTGCAGCCCTACCTCGTCCGTAACGAACAGGAATCGAAATGGGTCGATCAGCTAAAGGGCTATCTCGACCGCCTGAGATCTTCCAGCCAGCCGCAAAGCCCCGAGGAACAATTCAACCAGCTGTACGCATTACGGAAGTGGCTATTCTGGGTTCCCATTTCACTTCTCGCGGCCAAACGGGGGGACGTCAATGTCCTGGTGGTTCTCGCGCACTTTTACGCTACCGCACTAGCCTTGGAGCCGATGTTCCCGGATGTTGCATCAGTCTTTGTCGCGGATCTTTCCCTTCGTCCATTGGAAGAGATCAACAATCTGGTTCAAGGTTTCCAAGACCCACGATACGATTCACGGCTGCAGACCATGTCGTATCTAGTGCAGTTCCCAATTGATATGGTTTCTTCGTACAAGACTAGGCGGGAATGGTCACGGCAGCAAATGTCGTCCATCTCTCCGATGCAGCAGCAATCTGCATACGCACTGGAGAGCATCAATCTGGATCTGGAGAACCATATCGCGCAGTACAGCTACGGCCAAAGCCTCTCCCCTGCCTTTGCTCCTTCACCACTTACATTCCTTCCCTCTGGCATGACTTCTGCACCAACGTCACCGTACCTTGAAGTCCCCCGATCTGGTACTGTCGACGCGTACGGCACAGCTAGCAGCTATGCATCCTCGAGTAGCTACGCGTCTCCGCTGGGGTCGCCTGCAGCACTGCTACCGCCTTATTCGGCCCCACAAGAACATGCATTCGCATTTGGAATGCAATCTGGTTATCCCAGCGGGTTCGTGGCTACACCTATCTGGACGTGAACGAGCGCGCGCTGAACGATCCCCCAGGAACCAAATGACTAGTCCGATGCAGATTGTCGCTTCTCAACCTCATCATCATAGTCCTATGCCTGATGCTGGAAACGCTCAAGGCCAGGCGACCACTGCGGGGTACGTACCGAGCCAGTACAGTCACGCCTGAGAGAGCATCGTCTCGACGGAAATTCAAGGAACCATGCCGACGCAACGAATTATGACATCCGCCCGGCCCGTCCTCGTCGCCTCCACCGTTGCGTGAGATGAACAATTTCCGATCGATTGATCTCTGCCCATCACCAGCCAGAGTCGGACCTATGACATGCCACCACTGGCAAGGTGTTGTGGCTTCCGCCGTAAGCCGTTCGTGGACTGGTTGCTCCGGCGCTTCGGCGCAATATCCGGAGAGACGCAAGGTGGACGGAACAGCAAGTGGACATGTTTCGCACTACGATGCAACAGGCACATGCTCCCCTGTTGTGTCAGCCGTAGTTGGACCGGAGTTGGGTACAATGCAGGAAACGGCACATCGAGCTGCGGGACTGGTGCCCGGCGTGCGTGGAGAAGGCTCGTCAGGCTTTCACAGACGCCACATGAACATCGGCAATGAGACAAGGAAAGAAACTGCATTAGGCGGGGAGCTACGGCGACGAGTACTACTTTTCTGAGAGAGGGTTTCCTGATTGAGAGGACTCCGCACTTCCCCGACTACAACGCAAGGATACTTAGGCACCAGCAGATAGCATGCACAGAAGAATTAAGGTTATCCAGTATCGTCCTAGTTCCTCCATGTGATGGTCAGGGTCTGCCCTGCATGCTCGCTTGAAGGATGGACAGGTCAGCTACCAATTTTAGCTTTGCTCAACCAATCACAAGTCGCTACCCCACCATCGCTTCCCATTACCAACCCGGCAGCACGGGTTTACGTACAAGCATATTGCCGACGATGGATTACCGTTGCAGCACTCGAGTTCCTCCGTTGCTGCCAGGTCAAAATGCGCACTTTTCTGGGCTGGGTAACCCGGACGGAAAGGGTTTGGGATCGAGACACAACGTGCGCTAAGGTATGACCTACAGGGAGGAACGAGCTTGATGTCATTCCAGTCCGCTGGATCGCTTTTCGCGGGTAGCGGGTTAAGGCTGGCCAATCCAGCCACGCGTACGCGCATCACACTGGTCAAAGCAGCGACAGCTGAGCCATTCTTCTTTGGTGTTCGATTGCGAGAGGTCACTGACTTTGCACCGCCACAGAATACCCCGGCTTGGCAGCCTACTAATAGCGAGAACCGGTCAACGTTGGCGATTTAAGGCTGATCTTGAGATCCCGAGGCTACCTACCATGCAGGTTCTTTTAGTTGCGATTGTAATCAGATGGCCCTTCAGGTCGAATGTGAACGAAGGATTGCAGCAACAGGATCCGGATCCATGCAAGCGACGGTTGTAATGAGGAAGGTGCAAGCGGTTCAAACGAATCAATGTGGCCTTCTGGCATGTCTTCCGCTTGTCTGCTTCTGTCGCATTACTTGCATCGCAACACTTGCTTGTCAACATGTTGCCTTCGGCTTTCGACTCCCAATGTGGCTCACCGACAGTTCCAGCAGTGTGTCACGTCTTAGCTAATAGCTCACACCAGAGCCTTCACAGTCGAAACTGTCAAGACCATCTCCTCGGCATCTCGGTACTTGGATGTCCAAGCCTGATCCATGGTCTGCCCGAAAGCATCGCTGTGCGACTCACGTGCTACTGGACTTCGCAAAAGCTTTGGTGCTTGACATCCCAGATGGCAGATGCATCTAGGGAGCCCGGCAGGCCTTAGCCGCGTCCCTGGTTTCACTAGCGAAGGCATGAAAGACCAGGGGAGGCGAGTAGAACCACACTTCCAAGAAACGTGCAATGGGAAAAGAATGACCCACAACAAATTTCCGCCGTTCCTGAGGTGCAAACGGCTCCGCTCCCTTGGATCTTTTTGGGCTCCGCTGTCTCCATCGCGCCCTACACGTTTTTTCGACTGGTAGTCGCGTGCACTGGCTATCTATTTAGTGCCGTGGTCCACGGCCTCCAGAGGGAGTTGCGGTGTCATAATGCCGAGACCTCGTCTCGTCTCGAGCCCACAGTAAAATGCTAGACTGTTCACTCATCTGCCAACAAAACGTAAACATCGCATGATTCTTCCCGCCAACGCGGTTCCTCCATTGGCAATGAGAGAAAGCTGATCTGGCAATCGCAAAGCCAGTAGCAAATGACTCGAGTCCTTCCATGTAAAGAGCAAAGCTCACGAACCGGCACGGCACTAACTCACTTGACCGCCATCCGACGAAGATCATCTACCAAAATCATGTCGGCCGAACAGCACGCGAATGCCTGCGCAAAGAAAGCGATCTCTGACGTCCGGAACAGATTTCCGCTAACACTAAACAGGTCATTGATAATTTCTATTTCCGGTGACAAGCGCGCATTGGGGCGAGATCCGACGCGTGCGGCCATGGCGGAAGTGCCGTAGAATGGACATGTCGAGCCGAGAGAGACGGTTCACCTAGGCGTCATGATGCCGAATGCTGGAGAAAGATCCGAAAGGCCAACGACATGATCCACACATAAGGGGTGGCTGAACAAGTGCCATTTGGCACGGACTCATCAGCGACTTAATGCGCTCGCTCGTGGCGGCGACATATTTGTTTTTAGTCGGTGAAGCTTGATCCGATGGTTCTGGAGCCCTCCTAGCGCACACGCTTCGCACGTTCTGGCGCCGGCTCTGGAGATGGGCGAAGTCAAACCTGAGCGAACCGACAAACTAACGGAGATCTCAACACCAACCACTCGGAGAATACTCCTATGTTCAACTCGCCGGCCTCTGCCTGAACTAACTTAGTTCTGACTTGACATCTCACCACATCATCATCACACTATCACAACTCTCCTTTACCATCCTTTCCTCCGACACCTCCGATCACACTCTAGGTTGGAAGCTAAGCCCTACCTTCCAAACCCCCATTTCATCCCAACCCACGCCATCCTAAGACCAATTCGGCGCGGCGACAATTCACCCGACAACCGGTCTACTGCCATGTAACTGCTACTATTAACCATCAAATGTCACTGTTGCAAGGTGATCAGCAACATCAGCACAACACTGGCCCCTATCATGACCAAGATCGACAAATGAGCGAAGGAGCGAAGGCACGAAGTTACGATCCTCTGCAACGCGTGGCTTCCTAGATGTGAAACATAGTCTGAAAGATCGTCTCAGAGATTTTTTTTTCGCTCATGCAGAACGTGAAAGCTAAGATCCGTTCGTACATCGAACATCCAACAAAGATAAGCATTGGAAATAGTGGGAAAATATGGATTGCGTGGATGCATGCGTGGATGTAAGACCGAGAAAGAGAGCGAACGAAGACCGTCGTGGCTGGTGATGCGGTAGTTCCAACCGACGCCCTTACTACACGCACCGCACTTGTTTACCGTCGTGGCAGTCACGCTAATGGGACGTGCCGTTTATACGAGGCTGAAGCACAGTAGTGTGTACAGGTGGGCATTGGCATTTTTTAATCCCGAGATACGAGGCTGGTGCGGTTGGGGATCCTGGAGTGTTCATTGGGGGAGCGTGGGATAATGGTGACGGTATTGTGGCGTGTCATGTACATGCAGTGGATGTATCTCCGATGTTTCTATCGAAATAAGTTCACTCGGGTACTCTGATACCGCTACATAGACGAGACGATACAGATTGGGTTGGGCGATGATGTCGGAATGTGGAGCAAGTCTGGCGACATGTACTATACTTCTTTAGACTCTATGGAGAAACTGATGATTGACATCATACAGGCCATTTCTCGGCATCGCCGATGATACGCAAATGCTTTCTGTCTTTCGTTCCTCAGGGGGGCTTCGTTTTCTTTCCTTCCTTCTTTGCAAGAGGGGCACTTGGAGAGCTTCCCCCCAGGACTATAGCACTGACTCTCTTGTTCAAGTAGCCCAGCTCCAAGTATCCCACTCCTCCTGCCAGATTACCGGCTCTAGAGCCCCCTCAAAACTTAACACCTGACCTAAGGCACACTCTTCAAAAGTGACCTGATGCTGCTTCTCCAGATAAAATACATCGTACTTTCCCTCCATTGCATCGCCCAAGCTCTTCACATCACCTCCTGGATGTAATTTCTCCCAAGGCCTCGTACAAACACGGCCCTTGCAACGCTTGAGCGTAAGCAATAGAGCATTGAGTCTCGACGTGACCTTATTTATAGACCACCCGTTTATGGCTGTGCTGTTCGTGTTGTAAAGATTTTCAAGCTGATAAGCATCATTCTGGCATGTCATTAGTCACTGCTAAATTCGGCTGTGAAGGATAAAGGGTAGCAGAAAGATGGTACATACCGTCATATCGTATAGTTCATGTTCATTAGTACACCACACAGTATACGCCAAGTCGTACTCTTCTCCCACCACCCTCACAGTCTTATACGTATTGTTCAACAAAGAGCTCTGCCCGAAGAAGGTGTTTCCTTCAACTAGGTAGTTACCCCAGAATTCAATGTTGATATGTTCGCTTTTCTCGTTCCGCGCAAGCAGCTCTTTAGTGACAGGAATAGGCTCCCCGTCGAAGTCTTCTCGCAAAGGTATACCAGCTAGATGAAATAGCGTAGGGACGATATCAGTGTGGCTAGAAGGAATAGTTTGGACAGCGCCTTTTGCGATACCAGGACCGCGGATGAAGAAGGGTATGTTGACATCTTCCTCAATGCCGCAGCTTTTGCCGGGCGGGAGGCGGTGCTGAGAGATGTGGAAGCCGTTGTCTGTTGTGTAAATCAAGTAAGTATTTTCAAGAACCTCTGGGGTTGCCTCTAGACGTGCAACGATGGAATCGATGAGCTCGTCCACCGATTGCAGAGATTGTAGACGCTTTCGGTACCAATCATCGTTGTAGTCTATCTCGGATTGGTTGAGTTGGCGGAGGGTCTTGAAGTAGGATGCTGTTCCTGGCTGGAACGTAGATGTGAGATGACGAATGAAATGAGCTGGTGGAAGTGACTTACTTTATCTGGATTGAAGTTGGGTGTTCGCGGTATCGTGACATTCTGGAAGAGATGCTCATGTCTCTTCGCAGGAACTGGTGGATTGAACTTGGCAGGCCGTGGGTTGGTGACTGTCTCCGAGTGAGGAGCTATA